ATGGCACATCCTCCAATAATGTACGCAAGACAAAGGGCCCGTCATTGCGGGCGATCGCATTGGAGCTCCCAGACGCAGAGGAGGTCTGGCCGTCTGGATCCTCGGATGCCATGTTAAATCAGTCGTGCTATCATGAGTGCCGTAATGCCATTGTCGATTTCATGCGACGGTTGTCTCGAGGCGGCGAAAGGGACGTCCTGCTGGGAATATGATGCAGCTGGGAAGCTCCCAAGCTTGGCTGGTAATCTGGTGACATGGAGTCCAGGCTGCCTAGGTACCGGTAGCCACTTTAGGTACCTTACCTCTAGCTAACCAGAGGCGGATTACGTAGGCCTCCAGCTGTCCTGGGTGCGCTGTGCTACGAAAGGTACTAGCGCAGGCATGTGCCTGGGGCGGCCCCGTAGGGACGGAAACGACCAGCTGTCGCTGCCTCTGAACCCCTGCATTCCATGCGCAGCCAATCAAGTTGCTGCCCGGAAAGGGAACACGTTCCCCGAACCAGCGAGCTCAGTCGAAACACTTTCGATCTGTACCGAACGACAACAGCTACATCGGACACCGGCGGATTGAAACAACTCCCCAACCCCGCCGTCATCCTCGACTTCTTGGATTTCCATGGGCTTCAGGTGATGAAGTGATCATCCAAGTTGCGACCAAGAAACCCGACTCAACATGGCAGACGTAGAATCCGTCCTGGCGGCCAATGCCAACGCGCCACAGCCAGTCGCATCTTCAGACACTCCCAACTTGCCCGAGGGCGGCAACAAGTTCCAGCATGCCATCTCGGCCTGGAGAAGTGAGCAAGAGCCTTGGATATAGCTTTGGAAATGAAGCCTAACCAAGCTAGCTATCGACTACACGAACCTCGTCGCGAACCTCGATAACACTGCCTCCGAGATCGTCACCTACCAGCGAGACTCAACTGTCCAGAGAAAGGAACTAGCCCAAAAGACAAAGGACTTCAGAAAGCTCGATGATACAACAAAGCTGGGCGAAATCAAGGGGCTGTTGAAAGGTAGGGAATCTTCATGGCCGAAATGTTACTCTCACTAAACGGATAGCGTACCAAACTTTCATCGATCTCCTCACGAATCATTCAAAGTCAATCAACTCGGCCTTCCTCCAGACATATACATCCTTATCCGATGCGCCCGATCCTTACCCGCTGCTTGAGGCATCGGTCGACTCTATGCTCGTATCCGAAGACACTCTGCCGAAGCTGACTGAGGAAAATCAGCACCTACAAAAGTCTGTCGCTAAGCTGACGACCCAGCTAGAGGATACCGAGAGCAAGCTGCAGACAGAATCTGCCGCGAAGAGGGAGCTCGAAAACAATCTGGACAGCAGGGTGAAGGAGGTGGAGGCGTCATGGGTGGCAGTCCTCGACGAAAAGAAGGACAACTGGGCCGCGAAAGAGAAGACGTTGGAAGAGAAGGTTGAAAACCAGGAGCGCCTGCTCACCGAGATCAAGGCGAGCTACGAAGTCAACCAGCGCCTCGGCAAGACAGATGATGGTGATGCGGAGGGCCAGGCAGGCCACGTCACCAGTGCCGAAATCGAGATGCTTCACTCAGACCTTGACCGGACCAGTCAGCGGCTGGCCGAAATCGAGGCCCGGAACGAGCAGCTGCGACTGGAACTGGCACAGGCAAAGTCATCCGCGACTACTCAAACGCCCACCTCGTTGGAGGACGACCCAGCTTACATGCGCATGCGATCGGAAAACTCATCACTTATCCGGAAGCTCGATGCTGCCAGGGTCGAAAAGGAGGGGCTTAAGCGCGATCTGGACTCCAGACTGCGCAGCTTGGAGAGAGAGGTTGGCCTGCTCAAGGAGGAAAGGGACAATCTGAAGTCCAAGGTGCAGAAGTGGAGTGACTACGACGACGTGAAGCAGGAGCTTGAGGTACTCAAGAGCATCGAGTTCTCCACGGGCGATGATGATGATGTCAAGGATGTGGTCGAAAGTGCCACAGAGTCCAAGGGCCAGAGCGACACTTTGGAGAAACTTCTCTTGGCACGAAACAAGAAGCTTGGCGACGAGCTGACCATTCTGCGTGTTTCCCACCAGGACTTGCAGACCAAGCTATCTGACCTCCAGGAGGATATGTCGCGGACGAACATGGACCTCGAAAAGTCGCAGAAACTGAACGAACGACTCGAGAACGACCTCGCGACGCTGCAGTCAGAGTCGTCCAACGCTTTCCCTTCCGGCGCGTCGGTGGCAGGGACATTCAACCGCTACGCCCCGTCAATTGCACCGGGACGGAGGGGAGGAGGTGGTGGAGGAAGAGTTTCGCCAACATCGTCCATCATCAGCGGAATCGACCCCCGTATGAGTGGTGGCGGGGAGCCCATGGGCGGCGGCTCCGGCATCCTGCCAATGATCACAGCCCAACGTGACCGTTTCAAAAAGCGAATTGCCGAACTAGAGAGCGAACTGTCGGACACGCACCGCACCGTCTCGCAGCTGAGACAGGAAGTATCAGCTCTTCAAAAGGACAATCTCAGTCTTTACGAGAAGACGAGATACGTCTCGACATACAATCGGGCCGGGCCTTCAGCGACGTCGTCTTCGGCGGCATTCTCGTCTAACCCGAACCCTTCAACGATTTCCATTGGAGGCAGCGGCAGCCCGGGAATTACAATGGACAGATACAAAAAGGCATACGAATCGAATATTTCGCCATTTGCCGCTTTCCGAGGGCGGGAGTCTGCCAGGGCCTACAAACGAATGAGCTTCCCCGAACGGGTAGTGTACTCAGTAACGCGAATGGTGCTGGCTTCTCGGACTAGCAGAAATCTATTTGCGGCATACTGTGTCGCGTTGCATTTGCTCGTTTTCTGCTCGCTGTACTGGCTCGGTACGGTGGACGTGGAGCAGCATGCCAGTAACCTGGGCAGGTCGGTAGTAGGAGCCGCCGCCGCGGGCGCCGGGGGCCTCAAGGGAGGGGCCGGAAACGGCCACGGCGACTGGCAAGAGGAGGGGTTCAGCGGGCACTAGGCGGTGGTCAGTAAGGTGTCTGCTTGGAAGTTGACGAGAGGAGGGGGGGGGGGGGGGGGGGGGGGGGGGGGGGGTGAAGCGAGGTGGATGTCGATTAAGCCAGCGACGAACGGCTAGGTGCGCGAAAACTGTATGCATAAAACTTGTTTTTCACCGACAACTGTACGATTTGGCGTTGGGGCATGTGGTATGAACTGTGGCACTACTTTAACTTAGCTTGGTGAGGGAGGGGATCTTGTCAGAATACAGATGCCAGATCACTTTGAAAACCTAGCTACCGGGGATGAGCGGGAACTTCTTCCCATGATCCGAGATCATCTGGGCGAGATCATACCCTTACCTTAGATGCCGTCAAGCAGCGTGGGAAGCGTGGCTCCCCCCACCGAGTCCACCACGATGCTATTCTAGGTTATTTCTTTCCCGCTTCGACCTGGGCAGGCGTGGCAGGCTAGCTAGCTTGCTCCAGTTCCCGAGCTGCCATTCAATTTTTTTTTAATTTTTTTTTTTCTTAAAAAAAAAAAACGAAAGAAACAGCCAGACATTTCCCATTCGACGAGGGGGGGCCTCGTTGACGCTGGCCCGTCTGCGCGGCCCGGATGGAGCATATGACCTTGCAACCAATGAAAGGCTGTCGCGGCCCTTGGTGGAAGCGCGGCAAAAGCAAGCCTTGGATGTACAAGAGCGGGTACATGCAACGTGGGCGCGTCGCCGGGCTAGAGACGGGTACAACTTTTGTAGGGTGCAACGAGGGTGGTACCGTCCCTGGTTAATCTGCAGTTGGGCCTATCAAGTGTAAGGGTTGACGCGATGTCTTGTTGCTATTTCAGGTTTCTAGCCGCTCTGGCTCGCCATTTTGAAGGGACACACACATGGGGATACACACATATACACACACTCGGTCAAAGTCCAGATGAGGCAGGCCTCGTCTTTCATTGATGCTCACCATATTGATGCGAGTGAACATACAGTGGAACAAGGACAAAGGCGGACTGGAAATTTCCATCTAATAGGGTACAGCTGTTGATGTTATGTTTGCCAAGGTATAGTTGACAGAAGATAACCTGCATTGTCTTCACTCGCTTCTTCCTTGTTGTGTTCAAAATGACCACTCCGCCAACGTAACTACCCAAGCTAAGTGACCCAGGCTCGACTCGAGCCCTTGGAAGACAAAGTACGGCCATGACCTCGAGTCCTCGAGTCCTGGGCAGAAAGCACAACACCCTCAAAACGTGGAGCGCGTCGCTACCTGTCACCACACAACGAGGCCATTCGAAGCGGGCCGGGCGCTTGCATCTCCCCTGACCCCGGCGAAGATCGCCTGGGCATCCACACCCGCTGGTATTACTTGCATCTCGCCCTTCCACTCATTCGTCCTCGCCAGACCCCCCCTCACTCTCCATCCTCGTCCTCATGTCCTCTCCCGCCCGTCGTACGGTTGCATGGCATGGCGGCTGCCAGTCTTTTGGCCATGGGAGCCGCTGCGAATACCGAGCCCGTTGCCTCGCACACCACGGCGGCAGACCCTCCCCTCCTCCCCCGGCTATCCTTCTCCCCCCGCCATCTTTTTTTGTAACCTTGATACCATGCCATTCTGGGCAGGTAAGGAACCTAGTGCCCTAACGAGATGCATTGGTGGCCGTTCTTTGCCGCCGGGTGTGGAAGTGATTTGAGGATGCCGTGGTATATTAAAAATGGCTGCCCGCTTTCACTACGGAACTTGTGTAGCCCACCCCATCTCCACGGTTCATCTCATATATCGAGAGACGAGTCTGCTTCCCTTTTTTCTTGAGTCTTTTCTAGTTCTCATTATTTCCTAGTCTCGTATTTCATTGGTTCAGTTTGGGTTTTTCTTGCTTGACATTTGGTTCGATATTTCCACTCTTCTGGGGAACGAAGCATAATCACCAACACCAACAACCGAACATCATCGAATACCTTGACATCGCCCCATCTACTCCACGTTGCCAACCAACAACACCCATCACATATAACCAACATGCGTTGCTCAACACTGTTGGTGCCGGCACTGGTATCCCTTGCTCTCGCTGCGCCAACCTACCCCACGCTCAACCTCCAAGCCGCGTTGCCGGGTAGCATCGAACAAATCTCCGAGTACTTCAACATGCTGGCAACCAAGGTTCAGGCCACAAAGTATCTGTCCACCGCACCAGTCTGCGACCTCTCCACGGCTAAGCTACCTGAAGGTGAGTCGAGAGAGCCCCCGAAAACCTGTAAAGACCTGTCTTATACTTACACCACATGACCCAGCCGCAACCGAGACTCTCGGCAAGCCCAGAGAGGGCCTATTCCTCATGCACATCGCCATCGGCCGCGGAACCCAGAACTACACCTGCGACACCAGCAACGCAACAGCAGTCCCCGTCGCCACTGGCGCCGTCGCGACGCTCTTCAACGCCAGCTGCGTGGGCTCCCTGTACCCGGACCTGCTCGACAAGCTGCCCGTCGTGGCCATGGACTTCAACCTCACAGAGGAGGAGACGAACCGCCGCCTGGGACCGAGCAACCTCGTCATCTCGGGCCATCACCACTTCACCGGCAAGGGCGTCCCGCTCTTTATGCTCGAGAACGACGGCGCGTCCGTCGGGGACTCGTACTGCGCCAAGAACGCGTCCATGCCCGCGCCCCTCACGGCGCAGTCCGGCCAGCACGGCGAGGCGGCGGTCCCCTGGCTCCGGCTCCGTACCGTCGAGCCCAGCACCGGGGACGTCCAGGAGGTGTACAGGATACACACTGTCGGAGGCAGCGCGCCGGCTTCGTGCCAGGGCCAGGCTGCTACGATTGAAGTCCAGTACGCTACACAGTATGTTGGAACCAAACCTTGATTGAAGTTGTATGACACGTGTGACTTACATGAAGCTTTAGATACTGGTTCTTCTCTGGCTCCGCTCAATAAGTCGGTCATGTCATCTACCCTTGAATCAGCACCCATTTTATCAAACACTTGTTATGATTCGAAGGCGTTGGAGGTGTTTTTTGGGTTGCGCAGAAGTATGTCATAGTTGTTTCTTATTCGATATACCATCATGTATTCCCACGGCAGTTTGTAGGTCATTATCTTATCGATGAACCTCTTATGCTGTGGCTGGAAATTAGGTCGGCCAGTAGACTGAAGCCGCTAGATAACACTCGTAATGGAATGGTCGTCTGTTGAATTTTGTGCTGCTCATTGAGGTGTTTATACTCATGGAGGAGTGGAGAGGGGGGGGTTCCTCAGTTCATACAGGTAGTGAGACCAACTACGTGAAGGAGTCACGGCATGATTATGAATCTGGCGTCTTTGGTCATACTTCGTCAATATGGAGTCATACTTGACCGATATGGTGGCCATCCTCAGCGAGAATGGCTCACCGCACACATAAGATGGGTGAATTAATGGATGACCTGTAACGCTGAGTGAGTAATTGAGTGCACGTCCTAAAGGGATAAGAACGTTGGAATAGTGAGGTGAGTGAGATGACAGTTGGAAGGCACGAAGGAAGAATCAGTAACGGGCAGGCGCATTTCAAGTCCAAGGTAAGGTACTCCATAGACCCTGACCAGATCCACCTAGCCCCGGTCCTTGCTGCAAGCACCCCGCTAAAAAGCACAGCGTCCTTGCCAAACAATCCCATGTTGAACGCCTGGAAGGGCTGCGGTACGGAGTAAGGTACGGAGTACTTGCTGATCCCTAGGAAAATACCCCACTCTAGGGCCACATGCTGATCCGAGTAGCCAATGGTGTAGCTTCTTTTGTCTGAGAAGACGCTAAAAGGTGGTCCCACAAACCTCCGAGCCGGGCACCTGCCACCAGTGACTTCACTCTTTCTTCGACTCCTGCTTCAGCGCTTTGAAGAGAAATTCCATAGACTGTCACCTCTCCACTGGGTTTTTTTATCCAATTCAACTTCGACCAGCCCACTTCAACCAAACATCTCTTTGAGCACAATCGTTCACATTGATTATTGCACATCGTCAATAGCCAGGTAAGCAAGCAGAAGATAGTTCCTTCATCATCACATCATGCCTAATTCTCTAGCCAAGACGATTGTGCGCCTTGCGATTGCGACGGCGACGAATTGCTCAGTTCGCCGCTACTCGCTCTCACCTACGCAATTCCTCGACTTTATCGATTTTTTTTGATTTTTTTTTTTGCATTCGACCGAGCGCTCCTCCAGCCACCAATTACAATTATCCAGCGAACCACTCATTGCGGTCAATAATCAGCATTCGCTCGATTTATGGGACAGGCCACTTTCAATCACAAATTATCACAGTCTCCCATTCCATTGCCCGAACCGTCCGATCCAACAGCCGACCACGGAGCGATCGAGGAGTGCTGAGCTCCTTCGCCTTTGTCCACCGAGTCTTGACAACCGACACCAAAGCCCAGCCAAGCTTCCCTATGCTTGGTTAATCACCGGTCGAAATGAACAGAAGGGCACCTGCTGCTTCGGAAATGCCCCGCAAACGCCGGCGGATACGAGGACCAAGTGCCATGGCTTCAGACCCTCCCCAGCTCACCTGGCCCACCAGCCAGGTCCCGGTCGAGATCTTTGACGAAATCACTACCTACCTGTCCCGTTCGGATGTCAAGAACCTCCGCTTGGTCAATCACGAGTTCGACAAGATGATCTCTTCCAAATACTTCCGCAACGTTGTGGTTCCTTTCCGGTCCGAGATGTACAAGGCGAGAAAGCAAAAGTACCTGGATGACGGAGGCGCAGCGCAGCCTCAACTCGGAGTGGACACTCTCTTCTCCGGCGGCATGCGTATCTTCCAGTCCTTCGGCGAGCACATCCTTCGATTTGCCTTGTCGCTCGAGCTGGACGAGGAGAGCCTTGCCTACCCTCCCATCAAGCCGACCCAGAAAGTCGTTACCTCGTACTGGGGTATTTACCGCTGGCCTCACGAGTCGTACAACCGGTATGCGGAACTTGAGGGGCTTGAGCAGACTGCCGATGAGACAGCGTCCATGACAGAGGCCTTGAAGTGCTTGGTGAGGGTTCAGGAACTTGGGCTCTGTTGCGATGCTGGACTGGGCTACCTTCTTGGACCCGACCAGCAGTTGGAGAGCCCTCCCCTGCCGCATCCGGTCTTTGGCCTCCGCAATCTACGATACCGAAACCTGCAGCGACGCCTGGCCCGAGACGATTCGGACTCTATAAATGCCCGAAAGCTCGCCTTTGAGAGTCCTCGAGATTTCAAGTATACCGTACTGGAGGCCATGGTCAAGAATGCCGGGTACACGCAAGAGCAGGCTAAGGACGCTATTGCTATACTCTTGAGCACTGAAAATGTCTCACTGTCGAATATCGACTTTGACGAACGTACCGCCGCTGCTGCCGCCGCTGTCGCGGCCGCCAATGCAGCCGCCCATGCTGCCCAGACCAACGCTGAAGCTCGTGCCGATTTGATTGTTCACACCACTCCTCAGAACATCCATAACCTCGCCCAAATCTTACTCCAAAATCAACCTCCCCCGTTCATCAACGCTCATGACGCTGAGGATCCCGAGCATGATGACGAAGTTGCTGAGGCAAACGCTGAGGCGAGAGCGGCGGCCAATGTGCTTAATGAGCTCACGGCGGTCCATCCACTACAACCTAGAAATCTGACTAGAGCCCAGAAGGAGATGCTGCTAGAGCTGGAATGGGCACACCGAGCCCTCATTCAATCATACGTCCTCGCCCTCATCGACAACGCTCGGATGAATAGCTTCAGTTCTTTGACGACCCTGACGATCGCCAAAATTCCCAGCAGCCACGTCTACATGTTTCAAAGGTCGGATTTCTGGCAGAGCCTGCCCAACCTTACCAACGTTGCTCTTGCTGTTGTAGCCGACTGGCGTCAGATATCCAAGGTCGCTCCTGGCTGTGTCGAGGACAACCCCGTCTCGCCCGTAGAGGCGGTGAGCAAGGTCTACCGCCTGCTGCAAGACCATATCTCGACACAACCCAACATCAAATTCCTCCATTTTGAGTGGATTTGTGGTGGCGAGTTTGCACCTGGCATCACTCAGCGGAACCAATACGTGCTTCCCGCCCCATTCTGCTCGCCGTCGCAGATGATACACCATGCAGGTGCCAAGTCGCCCGAAACCTTGCTCACTCTACCGCACATCAGACACCTGTCGCTCAAGAACTGCTACTGGGCGCCGCACGTCTTTCTACAGGTTCTGCGGACAATGGGAACCCAGTCTCTGGAAAAGCTAGAACTCGAAAGTGTTTCTCTCACGGGCGCGCCCATGAGAAACCTTCCCGAGATCGGACAGGCACATGGACAAGGCCAGGCTCACGGTCATAATCAGCTACCGGCGCTGCCGCCGGCTCCTATGCATCTCCAAGCCAACGCGGCCTTCGCAGGTTTGCCAGTGGTTCCGGCCGGAGTGGTGGTCCCTCAAGGCCCGCTGCATGCTCCTGGCGTTTTGCCGGCGCATCTGATTGGCATGATGCAGCAGCAAGCTCTTCCGCAAATCGCCAATGTGGCGAACAACGCGGCGCCTCCTCCGCCTCCATCCGACCCATTGGCCGGCTGGAGTAGAATGCGACTAAGACAGCCACGACTGCTGTCTTGGGCTGGCATCATTGAACGTCTCGCACCGACTCCGCCGATTCAAGAGATCATGGTTGGCCAAGATGACGAAGATGACGAAGAGGATTGGGTGGACGATTTTGTACGAAAGGATGAGGGATTCTCGCTGTTGCCGCGGCCACACAGTCTCGTCAGGGAGAAGGATTTGCTCAGCATTCAGCACATCTCGCTCAAGTCCTGCGGCTACGCAGTCTTGGACACCCCCACGGTTGACAATCATAGTATCATGCCAACCAACACCCCTTGGCAAGAGCCTTCGGAAGTGACTTCGCGTCGACGGGAGCTTATGCCCTTCATGCAGGCCTGCGGCGACAGGCTGGCGGCTAAGATCACCAATTACCTGAACAATCAGGAGCACTTCAACCTTTCGACTGCGTTCGGTATGGATACGGAGTGGACTGGTGTGTACGATGAGGATGTCATTGAAGCTGCAAAGAGGGATGGTATCGTTCATCCTGGAAGAGGACGATTCACGGGTATGATTACCAAGATGGCAGAGCAGGTTTGAGCTGGACTGCTTGGTTACGATGAACACTGTATAACGATTGGGATTTGGGTGGGCCGCAGGAGTCTTTGGTTTTTTCGGCGTTTTTGGCAAAAGATACCACGGACTCAAAATTGGGACGGATGGACGGGCGGGATAATGACTGGATGAACCCATAACTACGTAGATACCTTATAGTAGGAAGACAACAAAATTTGGTAACTCCGTCATCGCCGCTATTGCGTTTGAGGCAGGTCCACTCTTTGAGTGTTGAAATTGACGGAGACGGAATGGCTCTACAGATCAACCATGTGGACGAATTCCTAGAGGCGCGTTTACTCGAAGACTCAGGAAGTACATTATGCTATCTCATCACAAGGACGACTTTTGGGGTGATTGATTTAGAAGCAGGCCAAAATTGAATGCATTTCCTCGTAACCGTTTGACGCCGATCACGATAGCTAGGTTGGGGGGGAATCATTGTTGCATGTTTGTTTATTGGTGGCCCATGCAGACCGTTGCGCGTGTGAATTCGCATGCCAATCCCTAAATGCCATGAGACCATAGCCTTCCTGTACACCAGCATATGAAAAGCCGCAAAGTTCTTTTTTTGTATTGAATCAACGCATCCATCAACCCAAGACCATCCATCCCAGGGGGGTGTACCGCGTTTGTCCACACTTCGCGCCGACCCTTTTTGCTCACGTCATGAACCGCACACGCCACAAAAATCGAAGACCGTCTTTAACTTAGAAAAGAGGTGATGGGAATTCGTTTATGCGGCAGTGATGGCCTGGCGGGTACGGGTACCACGCTGGCGGGAGTTGAGGCGGACCTCCTCGCGACCGGCGACGGCCTCGGACTTGGCGACGACCTCCTCGCCCTCGGTGAGGATGAGCTCGATGTGGCAGGGGTTGGACATGTAGGGGTTAATCTGTGACATGTGTTAGTCTCGCCAAAGTCTTGTCGATTCTGGGCTCTCCTCTCGCGCTGAGAGGAAATCAAGTGGTAAAAACATACGCGACCGTGGGCACGGTATGTGCGTCTCCGTTGCTTGGGGGCCTGGTTGACCTGGATGTGCTTGACGACGAGGTTGCCGGTGTCGAGGCCCTTTGCGTCGGCGTTGGACTCGGCGTTCTTGAGGAGGCCGAGGAGGAACTCGGCCGACTTGACGGGCCAGCGGGCCTTGGTGACGCCAAAGGCCTTGCCCTGGGCGGTGCGGCCGATGGAGCCGGCGTAGCGGCGGAAGGGGACGGCCTCCTTCTTCTCGGAGACGTTCTCGAGGAAGGTGACGGCACGCTGGAGCTTCCAGCCGTTGATGGCCTGGGCGGTCTCGCGGGTGTTCTTGAAGGACACACGGAGGTAGGAACCGCGCGAGCGGGCCGACTTCGCGGGGGCGATCTCTTGAGCGGCGTAGCGAACCTAAAAGTGGTGACGATTGTGTCAGTTTGACAGGTTCTGCACGAAAACGACGTGCTCCCATGTGTTCGATGTATCTTTCTATTCCTCCTCTTCGTCGACCATTACGAGTGACATAGTTGAGTCACAAGTCCAGTTTTTTTCGACATCGTGAAATTTCGACCCTCTTTCGACGAGGGGCAAGGGAATCGTCTCGGCGGCTGCGACAGGGTCGAAATTTCGTCGATTTCACAAAATCCTCCTCTTCGTCGACGTAGACACGGGGGAAGGCGGCAGAGCGACTTACCATCTTGATCGTTGGGTGTGGTGATGGTTTCGGTGGTCGGTCGGTGGTCGGTCGTGGGCTGGCTGTCAAAGTGAGGTTAGAAGAAATTCACAACTTTCGTTGACCCTAGCCCTCCTGCGCCGGGTTGGCTCGCTTGCGGATCGGGAAACGGCAGGGGGGTCGGCCTTAGGGTTCCGCAACCCTATGGGGTAAATGGACGATTTCTTCCAGCTTTGGCCGGGGAAAAAAATTGCAATGGGAAAACTGATGAGACTCACGATTTGTCTGATGAACTGATGAGCAGCCTGGGGTCTTTATTGAATTTTCCGAAATGAGTCTGCCGCTTTGGGAGTTGGGACAATTGGAAAGGATGATATTTCGAGGTGTTCTTGAATTCCGTTGCAAGCCAGGTTCACTGGACACCACCTTGGGTTTCTGACGCTCCTGCCTTCCTGCGAGGTGTGAGACCCCACTTTGCAGATGGTCCCCACCCTCTGGGTCCCTCCTTATCTAATCGCAAGAGAAAAAAACTTGCCGGAGAGCGGCACCTCTGAAATTCCGCATTGTCCAATCACCTTGATGACCCCACAATCTTTCCTGTCAGTCTGGCCCGTGCGTACTCTTGAAGCTCTCAGAAAAAAAGTCCGACGAAAAATTTCAAACACCCAGCCCAGTATCCAGTTGTCCCAACCCGCCACCAAGAGGATTAGCATTACCTGCGCCTCTCACCCCCAATTCGACTTTCTTTCGCAACTTGGGAACTGCCAGTCTTGTTCTCTTTCTTTTTCGTAACAACTACCCCGACGCACACTTCAAAGACAATGGCTCCCTTCACTCCTCGTGGCGGTGGTCGCGGCGGCGGTCGTGGATTCGGCGGACGTGGTGGTGGTGACCGCGGTGGCTTCGGCGGCCGTGGTGGTGGCCGTGGAGGCTTCGGTGGTGACCGTGGCCGTGGCGGCTTCGGTGGACGCGGTGGTGGTCGTGGTAAGTTTTGAGAGGAACTGACGCTTTCGCGATGTCAAATGCAGAAGAAGATCGAGCTAACCTGAAGCTGCAGGCGGTGGTCGCGGCGGTCCTGGCGGTGGTCGTGGCCGTGGAGGTGTCTCCAAGGGCGGCCGTGGAGGCGGTCCTGGTGGTCAGAAGGGAGGTCAGAAGGTCATCGTGGTATGTCACAACACCGGCTCTTCCTTGTGGTAAGAGATTGTCATTAACAAAGATCGCAGGAGCCCCACCGTCACGAGGGTATCTTCGTTGTCCGTGGCAAGGAGGACGCCATCGCAACCCGCAACATTGTCCCCGGAGAGTCCGTCTACGGCGAGAAGCGCGTCTCTGTCGACAACCAGACCCAGAACGAGGACGGCACCACCACAACCACCAAGATCGAGTACCGCGTGTGGAACCCCTTCCGCTCCAAGTTGGCCGCTGCCGTCATCGGTGGTCTCGAGAAGCTCTACTTCGGCCCCGGCTCCAAGGTCCTTTACCTCGGTGGTGCCTCTGGTACCTCAGTCTCCCACGTCGCCGACATTGTCGGCCCTACTGGATTCGTCTACGCCGTCGAGTTCTCCCCCCGTTCCGGCCGTGATCTGATCGGCATGGCCGCCAAGCGCACCAACGTCGTCCCCATTGTTGAGGACGCCCGCCAACCCCTCAAGTACCGCATGCTCATGCCCATGGTCGACTGCATCTTCGCCGACGTTGCCCAGCCCGACCAGGCCCGTATCGTTGCCATGAACGCCCACCAGTTCCTCAAGGTCGGCGGTGGTATCCTCATTTCCATCAAGGCCAACTGTATCGACAGTACTGCCCCCGCTCACAAGGTCTTCGCCATGGAGGTCGAGAAGTTGAGAGGAGAGCGCATCACCCCCAAGGAGCAGCTTACGCTAGGTTGGTAACCCCCTTTTTTTCTTAGGTTGCGAAAGACTCTTGACTAACATGTGACAGAACCCTTCGAACGTGATCACTGCCTCGTCGCTGCCGAGTACTCGCGCTACGCGAAATAAATGTGAGAAAAAACAAGGGAAGATGAAAAAAAAAAGTATTGTATGCGTTGCGTAAAGAAAGAGTGGTGGGTGAGCGGTTGAATCTGTACATTTGCGAGATTCCCACGAGATTTGACTTTTGCTTCAATGGGTACGGTCGGTCGGACTTCATCTGGACAGGCGTTAGGAATTTAGGACTGGTCTAGTTCAGAACTTGCATGTTAACCCATAAAGGTATTCAAAAAGTCCTCCGCGGTAAAGATGACATGTTTAATGGGCTCATAGACTTGAATTGGAGTAGTTTGCTGCGCTTTTTTGCTGCCTCATACTCCCCCTTCCGCAGTGACTTGACATCCGTCATGATTTGCCCTTGTTCTTACTCTGGCTGGCTCTCATCGCCTGCCTTGTGAACTACGTCCAAATGCTCCCGAACCCCTATCCCGACATGTACATATTCAGGCTTCATGCAGCCCAGCCCCCGCTTCACTCAATCCCATCCACAAGACCTAGGCCAAGTACCGCCGCCCCACACATCGTCGACCCATCCACCTCTGTCTGGCCGGCCCACGACACTAATTCCGACGAAAGCTGCGCCGTCGGCGTTGTCGGCCTCTCCTCCAGCAGCAGCTGCTGCTCACCCCCGATTCTCCACCGGTCTTCATAACAGCCGTACTCCACGAGGTCGCGGGCAATGTAAACGACCCGCTCCTGCTCGGGCTGCCAGTCCATCGGTTCAGCCGGACCCCCCGCGCCGACGCTTCGGGCCCACGACTCGACCGACGTGCGTTGCTCGTCGAGGAGTGACAGAATGTGATTGCGGAAGCGGTAGTTGTCGACGACGAGGTCGCTGCTCTGTTGTTGATGTATCTCGCGTCCGGTATCGTCTATGCTGCGGCGACGTTTCGAGATCCTGCGAATCGTGGGCTCTAGCTCGAGCTCGAGTCCGGGCTTGCGGCGGCGCCTCACGATATCCAAGTAGCCGTCGTCGGTTTCATGATGGGCCTTTTTATGGCTCGGGGTTTTCGTTCTGAGGACGAGGGCTGTTGAGGGTGACGCTGGGCGCATGGGAATCATCTTCAGATCGCCGTCTGTGTCTGACTTTGCTTCGATGTGGCGGCTATGTCGGTTGTGGCGTCTGGGGGAACGAGGAGGAGGTTCGTACAGAGACCGGTGTCTTCCTGTTGGGTATTCAACGTCTTTTCGCGGGGGGTAGCGACGGGCCTTGATGATGGGAAGCCCCTCTGTGAGACCGGAATTCGGCTCTGGGCTAGCGTGCCTGCGTTTGGACGAGCGTTTCGACATCCTGTGTCCTCGTGACATTGTGATGTTCCCCGTTTAGAGGGTCAGGTCTTTTCCCGGGAGGGGTGGAACGAAGATACTAACATGCGTGATTATCCGCCATCTGAAGGGTTTTGAGACTGCTTTCCGGAGGATATGGGAGTTTGAGTAAGGCGTTATTTTGATGATGTATATTAGTTTTTATCTCGACTATACTCGCGAGATATTCTCGCGCAGCTTCTAGCCATCGACATCTTGAGAATCTAAACAAAGCTGGAACGGCCTAGAGCTTATTGTGCCATCGACAGGAGGATGAGTTTCCAGAAGCCAACAAACAAGCAAAGACTCCGTGGTGTGATGGACAAGCTACTAGAAGGTATTCATAGAGGGCCGCCCTCGTTCAACCTCGAAACCGAACAAGGGGACAATGTTGAACCTCACAAAGACCTATCAGTGCCGACCCATGCTCCTCTCCCGTTATGGCTTCTCGGGATGACACGTCGTTTCCACCCTCTTCCAGCAATGGTTTCAAAGAAGTGAGATCCTGCCGCTTCGGTGGCCGTGGATGAGACAAAGGGCAAAGCCTACTCCAACATTTCGAATCCAATCCCAGTTCTTCGAGCAGCTACTGTCTTCTGATGAGGTCTACCAAGGCGAAACTCGACCTCGGCTACAGATCAGAGCTGTGTTGGCAATATTAGTCAAATGGCTCACGAGTAATACGGTCTACTATGTACTTCGTGCTTCACAATGGAAACATGTGAATATGAGGATGTCCACCTTTACTTGCTCTACCGTATGATCAGAATCAATAGTCCAATTTGACGTTGGCAATGCTGCTTTTGCCATCGTCAGAAAGATTGGCCACCAAATTGAGCAACGATCACAATTCCATAACTAACGCATAATTCGACTATCGCGACGCCATCGCACCGACCAGACTGAACGAGGCTTAGAACCGCCGAAAGAAAGACCGAACTTCATTGGACGTCAAGTTGCCCTTGATAGGTTGGCACGCGGCTGGTCTAGAAGACCCCGCTAGCGCTGGATCCTGGTTGAGGTTGTAGATCGACCAACCGATGACTTTATCTCGAACGGGCATCAGACGGTTTTTCTGATGTTACACGATCCACACCTTCGCACAGCGACATAGATAGTCCGCCTCGTCTCTCTTACCAGGACAAGTCTCGACAAGCGAGCTGTACCTCCTCCCTGGTCACGCATCAATGGTCTCTGTTCAAACGCCAAGATGCGTTACCCGGGCAGCTATTGGGTTGTCCTGCACGGAAAGCCGAAGAAACTCTTAACATCCTGCTCCAGATTCCAGTAAAGCACAGTGAGGACTTTGAACCCGTTTTGTTGCCATACACGCAGATAATCGCTGCTCCTCGCCGCAATATGATGAAATACCTGGCCCCCGGGCTTCTTTTGGCTTCCTTTGGATCCCTTCAACCGGCCCTGATCCTTTCAAGTTCTAGCCTCCTTCAGTACCTTGCCCAATCCTGTCCGTCCCGCGTGGTTGGATCAGTCAGAGGGATAACGTTTGGGTTCTATCCCCCAGACACTAGAAACATTACCGATTCAGCTTGCGTACGTCAAAGCGTTCTCGGAGGAATTGTTCAAATTTCGCGATGTCCGCCGTGGTGGCGTCCACATCCTTGATAGAAAGCATCGCCCTCCTTTCTCGAAAGGATATCGTTCGGGTTTATTACCCCAGACGCTAGCGCTGTCAAGAAAGCGGCACGTTCAGATTAACCAATCCCCCAATGGGGCAGCTGGCTCTTGTGTCACCGTTTTCTTACGACGGCTGGGTCCAAGGTCTGGGCAACAGAATTCATGCGATGCCTGGCTGAGAAGTGGAAAGTTGTGAGATCTCTGTTGCCTGTATAAGTTTCCTATCACATGAGCGGCATTAGAGTCCACATGAGCGGCTTTCTCGTTCGGTTAAGAATCGGGATACTGAGCCATGGTATCTTTTCTCCCCCCAACGTTGGCTGGGTCTGGAGTGGTTATGAACAAGCGTAGGGATGGCTACAGCGAGCAAAGGACCTGGATGCGCATATCCCCCCTTCGTCCCTGCCTCGACCTACCTCACCAAGTGGGGCTAAGGGTATATATGCCATCCCAACCTCACTTTCTGTCACCAGCACAGCAGCGTCCGTCTAGGTCGGCGGGTCAGGTCAAGCTGTGTGCATGGTGTAGCGGCTAATAGAACAAGTACTCCAATGAAGTCAGAGTCCGGGTTGACTGAGGGGCGCGCTGTTCGATTCTGGGCAGGGGCGTGAATTATATGGTCGGTGTTCCCCCTCCTTCCCTTTCTGTTGTTTTTGCAGAGTGTCTAGACTCTATACTGGGCGAAGGCAGTGACAAGGAGGACGGTTGGCTAGAGTCGTCACCACAAATTAGGAAGACTATTCGAGCCAGTATGAGCAATAGCCGAACTCTGTCTAGTAAAATGTCTACACCACCCCCCTGACCGAGCCGATAGGGGAAAGTTATCCTGCAGGCTGCGTGGCTTTGTAGCGGCTCATGTTAATTCTGACAGGAACACACAGACGAGAACCCCGAGCAGATGGCCAGGCTCAGCTCCTACTGATTACGTATATTGCGCGTTAAGGACAGACCCTTGAGGCAGGCGAGTCTGGGGTAGGAGAATAGGTGTGGTAGACATTTCGTGACTAGCGTGGCCTGGACTAGCTTTGGTTACCTATCGTGCCTGCATACTGTAAGTGAGGGGTTTTGATACCGATCATAGGCAGGAGCGAAAAAAGTCTGGAGAGGGCTGTCTCTCTCTCTCTCGCTCCGTCTGTCTATGTTGGCAACGCGCTAGGCCTCTTTGTGTTTCTCCGGAATCTGCCTACCTTTGCTTTGTTGAGGCATCCAGATCCATAGATCTAACGCCCTGGAGCGGAGGCTCGTTTACCAACAATATGTTAGAGTTCGAGCACCTGCTTGTTTACCCACGGGATGCCAAGACGAGACCTGGTCGAGAAGCCTCTGGTCATTTAGGTAATAGGGACCTTCCCGAGGCTATGGTCAGCCGGCAAAACGTCTCCAAGTCCGTCTGAGGTAGCAATATGACAGTCCTGCGATCGATGAAACACAATTCGATCCCTTCAGAGGCAATGGGCCGCTGGCACCGAGACGTCGGATCTGTTGGAGCCATGGTTGGAGGGCAAAGGTAACATGGTTCGACACCGTCAGTGGCAACCAGCCTCGGGCACAACGTATCTCTTGTCCATAGTCCTTACAAAGCTCCTTCACCGATGGTATACAAGAAGGAGACGATCCGCCGCGGCACATAATTTGTCACCGAGGATCGAGGCCGGCCAACGACAACGACAAGAGCTCAAAGAAAGGTGGACAGGCAGAGGCGCGGTGGCGCGGCATAAGCCAGTAAATTAAGCTGATAAATGAAGACAGGCAGGGCAAATTTTCCAGCTCGGGCTAGGCCTTATGGATGGGACCCGCGTGTTGGCTTTGCCATGGTTGGACTCTTGGAGGGGCCGGCGTGTTTGAACTTGGAAAGCTTGTGGTTGCCGATTCCCATAAGAGGTACGGAATACCTACGGATAAGAGATGGAGAGTACTCTGTACGGAGTACGGATAGGGCACGTACCGATGTTCGGAAGAATGACCCCACTTTCCCCGCTTGGAACGGCAGGCAGGAACACTGGAACAGGCACCTGGGTCCTGGGGAATGAGTGGTGCAGTGTTGGGGTAAATGTGGGTAAATTCTCCATCTTCAATGTCACCCTTCCTGCCTTCATTGGCATGACCAGAAACCTCCCTTGCCTCCTTCTCTTTGGCTCCTGGCCTCCTGCTGCTTTCCTCCGGTCGACCGCACCCAACCAAGTTCATGTCAGGGCATGCAGCACTGCAGATTCTATCCGGACTCAATTATCCTCCCCCAGACTTTGCCTTCTTCATGCATTTCAACCCTCCTACGCCTCCCATCCTCCGGACTTTGGCAGGCCTGGTAGCTAATCAGCGCTCGTTCAGGACCTCCAACAGCCACCTCGGTACGGCCGTACTATCCCGTCTGGGTTTTCAAACGACGGCACAGCCTATGCCTAATTGCAAGGTGGCTGTCTGAAACTGGGGTCAGTCGAACTCGGTCTACTGTTAAGCTTCGTCGTCGAGGTCTAAGACACCACCGCGTGGTCTCGTCCAGTCCAACAATTCTTTCCAACAGCCATCTTCCACAGATTCATCACTGGCGTGTGGCTTGGCACCGAGCAGACGGTACGAATTTGCAGACGGCGCGGCGCTGGAAGGTCTCGCTCCGTCCCATCTCAAACCCATAGGAGACAACACTCCAGACGACATCACAACGCCGTCGACCTCGTCTTAGTTTGAATTGTATCCCACCAGCACCCGTTCACCATCAGCTCGGAGACATCGTCGATCGTGGCGCCCTCCACGTGGTGGAAACTTGCGCCGTGCCGCCAGCCGGTCGACGAGATGTTGGGACAAAGCAACAACCAGCAAAATCGACGGCACTTCGAGCCACTGTGGCTGGCCGTCAAGCTATTTCCATACCAATGATGAATTCTTTGAAAGACCCTGCGCGAACCAGCGAATGCACACTGACCGTTGCGTCCCGAGACGGAAACGTTCTTTATTTCGAGACCAGAGAACAGTCTTTGTCCAGACCTGATTCACTACGGTAGACTGCCGCTGTGTCACTAGCACATCGGATGATACGGTGAAAGCAACATGGACGTCAGTCTTCACTAGCTGCCGCCCTCTACAGCGTGGCAATGCTCTATTAGATTGGATGGTACTGTACGGAACTCTGCAGCAAAACATCAGCACCCACGGCCCGTTTCCGTCAGCACCATCGCAGGGTTGCAGAACGAGGCCCTTCTGCAGCTTGAGCACTCCGTCGAAAGTAAGGCCAACTAGCCGTCCAGAAAACTCCCAATTTCCTCGAGTCGTGATCCCGATTATTTTATCGGAAATACCCTGCTAGCCTTGATGGAGTCAGCAAACACGAGCTGCCTTTGGTCCAACGACGACACATCCAAATTACAGCCCTCGATCCCTGCCTTGCGGTGGCTTGACAAGGGTTTCACCAGGAGGATAGAAGTCGACGGTCTTCCGAGAGGCATCGGTGGCGGCAGGCCAGGAGGCGCCTGAGTGCCAGACAGTTTGGGGTTTGGTACCGTGGTATTCCTCCGCTGACCATCCCGCCGCCCTGACCATGGTTTGCAGGTCCAAGCTCCCCGAGAAAACGTGATATTCAGGCCTGAAATATATGGCTGTTGATTAGGATGACAGGCTCCCATCGTAATGCCAGCTCAGGGATATCCGATCACCACGAGGAGGACACGCGGTGAGGGAGGATGGTGACGGCCATCACTCAGGAAGGTCAGAGATTGAAGGCAATTTTGTACAACGAATACGGACACTGCAGAATACCTACGGATATGCAGCTCGACAGCTCACCCAACGAAGGAAAACTTTGGCCCAGGGGAGCCTTGTAACGGCGCTGCTGGGGGGAATTGACCAGGGCCACCCTGGCGTCCCCAGGTTCGTCCGACCCCGCGCCAAGCTGGTTGTAGGTGGGCCCGGATGCGGCGAGCTAAGTCCTTCACTTGGCCTGTTCCAGCTTCGACAACATACTTCCTTCCTCCTGGCCCCCCTAATGCCCTCTCGCTTCTCTCCACGCGGACATGGCGACCACACCAAATCTCCAGCAATTGCCAGGTACCTATCTTTGGTTGTCTTCTCTCCTGTGGTTCTCTGCCCAGGAGGGTGCTCACATCCTTACCACACGCCCTGTCCCAACATGGAACATGGTCTCGAGAGAATCCTGGCCAATCCGGCCCTACACAGCCCCTGCTCCATGCCATGCGAAGGCCTAGGGCCTGCGGCGCCCCGATGAGTTGATGGCTGGCTCTTTTCCTCTTTTCTTACATGTTGCCGTCGTTGCCATCACCTCTGATCCCGTCTTCTACGCCTTTTCGGAACCATGTTGGTTCTTGTTTCTCGACAATTCGGTTCCTGGATTCTGGTTCAGCACATCCGTTTGTGCTCTCCTGCAGACCATCCCGGTCAGGAGTTTGCATAACATCTTGACAGGAAGTTGACATATTGGTCCATTCCCATTGGGCTAGGCAACGCCTCTACAACCTGTTGCTCGTCGGAGCCGTCACCACTTTCGTTGGCTGGGAATATTCAGTGAGGGAGGTCTGCATACTTGAACTATTGGCCGTCCACCACCTCAGGAAATCGATTTGCAACATTTCGAGCAAGGCCCGCTACCAAGGCCATCGACAACCACTTCCACTCACCAACAGTGGTTGCCATCGACGCAGACACCATTCTGACGTTGTTTCGGATCTTATAAAGCGACCAGGCTACACAGTGGACCTCTGCCGGTTTCGTCTACTACCACCGACACCATGGATACCACCGAAGAGAAGGCCAACTTGGACAAAGGAGACCTCGACCTTCTCAGCATCATAGAACGGACCTGCTCGGTCTTCTCGCTGCTGGGATGTGTCTTCATTATTGTCACATTCTGTTCGTCTAGGGCATTTCACAAGCCCATCAACCGGCTTGTCTTCTTCGCTTCCTTTGGTAATATGATGACGAATGTTGGCACTCTCATGGCGAGGTCCTATATTGGTTCTCCGGATTCTCCAGGCTGTCAGCTTCAGGCATTTCTTGTTCAAATGTTGGTACAACGGCCCCACGAGTGATTCATGACTAACACTATGCAGGTTCATGCCGGCTGATGCGTTTTGGACACTTACTATGGCTATCAACGTCTACTTGACATTCTATTACAAGTTCGACGCCGAAAGGTTACGGAGAATGGAGATACCGTATCTTATTTGCTGTTACGGAATTCCCTTTATTCCAGCCCTGGTCTACGTCTTTGTCAGGAACGGCGATGGGTTGAGGGTCTATGGAAACGCGACGTTGTGGTGCTGGATCAGGCCTGAATGGGAGATCTGGCGCATTCTCACGTTTTACGGACCAGTTTGGTAAGTTTACGTCTAGCCTCGTGTGGCCTCTACTAACTGGCCAGGATTGCGATCTTGATCACTTTCTTCATCTACATCCGCGCCGGCCGAGAAATTTACCAAAAGCGCAAGCAGCTTCGCAACTTCAGCTCCTCGGACCATGACCAAATGAACTCGTTCCACGACGTTCTCACCTCGATGAAGACAACCGAAGTATATGTCACCTCGGAAGCTATGGATCAACCTCAAGGCTCTATTGGTCTTGCAACGGTGGGAAGACGTGGATCGGAAGCCGGGCCAGTCCCACAACTACCAAACGCTGCCTACTCTGTCAGCATTTCTGCAAATCGCTATAGCCGCAATGGATCACAGGCCGAAGCGGCCGTCCTGCCTGCCGAAAGTAGCACGGCGGATGCCGTCGGCCAGCGCCCGATGAACTCTGCCCGTCGACGCAACTACGAACTCAACAACGCGGCTTGGTCGTACACAAAGTGCTCGATCCTCTTCTTCACAGTCATCTTGATCACCTGGGTCCCGTCGAGCGCCAACCGCGTCTACTCGGTGATCCATGCCAGGGAGTCTTCCACGCCGCTAGAGTTCATGAGCGCTTTCGTTCTCCCGCTTCAGGGCTTCTGGAATGCGCTCATCTACGTGGTGACTTCGTGGAAGGCTTGCAAGACGTTGTGGACCGACATCAAGTATGCGTCTCAGCGGCCAGGTGTGACGGAAATCGTGGGCAGTTTCAGGCACAGCGATCAGTTCAAGATCTCGAGCCAGAACCGTAGGACAAAGAACTACGAGAGCGAAAGCATTACGGAGCTTACGAATAGCCGACCGGCCTCGAATGAGCAGGCATCGCGGTCGTAGTGTATGAAGAAGATGCGCACTTGTCACGATAGCGAAACGATTTCTTGTGGATGATACCCCGAAGCCATGTTGTTGTTTTGGGAGGCCCTGCCGCGGACGCAGGTTTCATTTTTGTTGCTTTTGGGGGGCATTCGACATGCTGGCATGCCCCAGCGGAAAATCTATAACGATCTTGTCTGTTAAGTCTTTCGGTTGTAGATAACATATCATTTACTGTTCATTTGTCACTACTCATGAGTCCAAAAACATATTTGCCTTGTGAAATCTGCATGATCTATTATCTCTTGGCGGACCCTTCATCTCTGGCAGTGCATTTTGCCCACAATACCATCCAAAGGAGCCGTTGGGACCGGCGCGAACAATGGCCAGACGGACTAGAGAAAAAACGCATTCGGCTTCCACGTGCCGTCCCAAAGACTAAGATGGGTTCCTGCGTTTTTTTTTCTTTTCTTTTTCCAACGGCGTGTTCCTCCTCCCGGGAAGTCTAGGAAGTCTACTTATTAAGCTCTGGACTTGCACTTGCTTTTCATCTCGTCTGGCCTCGTCTGGTCTCGTCTCAGGGCATCAGTGCGTAGGAGCCGTGCCGTGTAAGCAGAGCACGTACGCAAGGCACGGGGAAGGAGGTTACGGGTACGTGCTTGGGGCCTTTTTTGTCTAACTATAGAGAGTGTAATGGATCGACACTCTCAACGGTCCGTGAGTTCAGAAATTCGTTCCAGACGCACAGTTTCTCGTGGCGGTGTAACTGGATGAGGGCTAGCAGCCATCCAGTGAGGGAGTAGCTACGAGTATAATTGCATGAAGCAGAGTAGAGAAAACAACTTGTGGTCCCCTCCCGTCATCTCACGGCTCCCGGTTCATTGTGCTGCAGGGACGCGGGGGCATGGTCTGCGACAGTTTTTGTTTTCTACATTGGCTCTTTCGCTTCCATTCTTTCTACGTCTTTTGTGTTGCGGCCTCGTTTGGACTTGCTGTTGGTGTTCCGTGGCTGGCTGATCTTGTTTTCAGGGGCACTCATCCCGATCCTGGCCTACCTCAAGCTATGTAAGTTTACCTGGGGGTAACCAGTCCAGTCAGGGCTGACGAAATTCGCTGAGCACGATCTTTGAGTTCGACTTTGCTCGCTGTTACTGATAGAAATTCTTCGAAAGGTTGAAGATCCCTGGACAGAGTCAACTATTACGAGAGAAATGATGTTGAGTTGAGCAGTCCACCCCTATTTCTCCGTGGACTTGGTTCTGGTCGACCGTCGGGCTCGAGGGTTGCAGAGAAGATGGAGCATGTTGCCCGAGTACCATTCCATATCTATTCCCACGCAACCCACTTTCCCAGCCCAGTGGGCTCCTGAAGAGAAAAAAGTCCCACAAAGCCAAGTTGGAGGGGAACCTTGGTGGTCGCCCATGCAGGGGCATACAAGGGTCGCTTTTAGAAGCTGACAACCACCTCAGATACGGAGTACTGGCTGCGGGGAAAACAGAGGGAAGTTGGGAACTGGAAAACTTGGCGATCCCGTTTGGGCGGAAGGCAAGGCTTTTACTTCCCCGAATCTTGGCTTCGATGCGAGGAAAACATCAAGCTTTTTTCTTTTTGCGTTGCATCTGCCCTGGTTTGTTTGCCTGCGCCTGCGTTGCCCAGAATGATACTGCGTCAACGCACTGGTATTGGTCTGAGAGGTGATGTTGGTTTTGGTACGCTTGGCTTGGCTTGTTACTTCATTTTCGATCACCGACTGGCAATATTTCTTGCCAGCACATTTGCTAGATTCACTTTTACCTTTTGGCTGTTGGAACCACCATTCGCCTGCTCTTCTCTGCTCTCTTCTGACGGCGGTTCGAACGAGCATTATCATCCCTGTCGCCCTATGCCTTCAACATCACGCTATTACTCTACTCCGTACTCCGTACGCAATTGACAGATAGGAGGAGCTCAGGACGGTTTGTGGTCCGTGGAGGACCATCAACACAATAGCAGCTACCAAACAATTAAAATGCCGCGTGGAAGATCTGATCCTCATCGAGACACGGACTATTGAAATCCAACAGTACCTAGTGTAAGTCTGTCAAGAGCATGCAAGGCCATGCAGCAATGCAAGAATTCCCCGACGAAACATTTGATAGTGCCAACGGCACTTGCTTTCGTTAACCCTCCTGACGATCGCGTTTCATTCACCGTCGCGGTTGCTTTTCAAGCTTTTCACTGATCGACTCTGAGTCTTGGTTTTCTGGTATCTGGATCACACCCGATTCACTCCGAGTTTGAATGCATGTCTAAGTTGCAGTGGGACGCAGCATCTCATTGCATGCCGCCCTTGTTTTTTTCCCCTTTTGCTGTCAGGACTTAGGCGGCAGGCCGATTATCCGGACTGAATCCACGCCGCTTTTGCCCCATGGTGATCTCTCATGCAAGGCGGGTGGTTAAGTGAATTGTGGTCGCCCTTGCATCGCCTGTAGCCGTCATATGGTCGTGTCGTCTTCTACGATCTTATCATTTCTTCTTTTTTTTTTCGTCGATGACGATGTGACTCAAGCAGTCAAGCTTTCAATGGAGGCCAGACTGAGACATCCGCTAAAATAAAGCAATGGCGGCCCGATGTAATCTGAACGACCAGCCTACAGCGTGCAGCAAAAGCAACCCCGCGGGCCGCGGGCCACTACGGATACGTAGGTAGTTATTAATACTACATATCACAAGCTCAACATTCCCACAGACTTCAAAGACAGTAAAGTGGGTGAATCCCACCTCTCGAGTCCCGAGGCAAATGTCAGACACCCAACACGCTCTACAGTCGAGTCCAAATCAGCCCACAGGTGCCGCCGACTCCCGACTCGCTCTCGGTCTCCCCTCTTCTCAACGGCGATCAAGTTGCGTGATAAGAGATCTAGGGTGTTCTTCAACGGCAGTGGCTGTCTCTAGCAAGCCCTGTTTCTGGACTTTTCTAGGCTCGGGGGGGCTTGATGAACCGTACTCATTCCTTGCAAGTGGTTGTGCGCCAGGAAAGTCAAAGCGCAAGGAAGATTTGTGCCAACACGCGTACAAAATCGTATGATGTCCTTTTCATCTCTGTAGCCGTGGGTGATCGTGTTGATTTGGGCACGGTACGGGACAGTTCGGAGTGGAACGTACTCGTTCTTCTCGGGAGGCAAAGGTTTTTCCCAAAGTCCTTGAGAAGACGGCATGAGTACACCTACCTAGGTGCAAAGTTGGAGTGGGGGAAGGGACAGAGATCCCGAGGACGTACTCCACATGTGTCGTGCTGAAGGCCCACTCTAGGTAACTTCAACCCGCCAGAGACAGCCGAAGAAAAAAGATGGAGATATTGGAGTGTATAACTTCTCTTCTTTCTATCTGGTCCTCCTATGGGTGATGGTTCTCCAAGGAGGGAAACTTACAAGATAAACTCGATGAACCATCTTATGATGTGTTTGCTGAATAGTACTGTAGACGACAGATACCATCGAAACACGTGAATCTAAATGAATGGAGGTACCCACCCCAAATGACACCACGTGCCGCGAAGTGCCGCGAATAGTATCTCAAGGTTGTCATCCGCTCCAGCCGGGAAGGTTGACAACCGTGACTGTTCACGACGAATATGGCGCAGAACCTTGAGGAGATGTAAACCTTTCTTTCCATTTGAAGCAGATACTCGTGATAAGAAGTAAATCATCAACCCTGCACACTACATCACAACCCAGAAAACACCATACTATAGCCACTTCATCTATTCACCAACACCGACACCCACAAGCTGACAGCGTCCCATTCGCCTCGCCTCCACTCTACTCCAGCCCGATTCACATATACACACCTCCCCAAACTATTACCTCCACTACTTCCCCTTCACAATGCTCCTCTTAGCTATATCATCCATCTCCCTCATCCTGCTTCTCCACGCGGGCTGCGCGGCCTTCATTAACTGGGTAGACGAAAATGACCATGACCATGTGACCACACCAGAAGAGGAGAAGGAGAAACTCCTCAAGTTGACGAGGTAGAAGATACCAGCATCAAGGGTTGGCGACCCCCTCTTGTTCTTCTCAAGCTTGATTGGAAACCGCCTGCTAACGTCGAGAAAGAAGAAAAGTCTACGACCAAGTCCGAGAATAAAGATGAATATACCCCCGACTATACGAGTATGATGCTTAATCACTTTCAAAAGGAGAAGGAGAATGGAGACTTTGAGGGAGAAGATGAACATGCCCCCGACTATGCAACTTTGATCAACGATTTCTTTCACAAGAGGGGAATGGAAACTTTGAGGAAGAAGAGCGCGTAACTTCACAAATAATAAGCAACAAGCCCGTTGTTAGCCATGAGTTAAACACCAGTGACAGCAAACATCTCATCTACTCTTAATCGGAAAGGGAAAAAAGGAAGGGGATGGAACGTCAGCAGTCGAATCATTATTGCCTCAAATCTCGTGAAAAAGTAGGCAAACTTTGTCCATTCATAGATTACGTTGCATATTTCTCGACTGCCTCACTTCCCACCCCCCTTGTGTACCATCTCCGTGTGACCCCCAAGTCAACTGACTCACTCCCACTTACTACTTCTCATCCTCCCGTCCAAAAGATGGTTTCTCACCTTGACCATCTCTAGTCAGATGGAAGAACAAAACGGGCCTCACACCCTACTAGAATCCATCAGCCCTGTGGCTCTGACGCTAGATGGAGGAAACAACCACAAAAGTTTCACGATGCCCAAACAAACAAGTGGACAATGCGGGGGAAACGGGCCAGGATTAGCCTTCAGACAATGGTTCATCCAAACACCAGGGTCCCCATCATCGTGGAGCCATCTCAAGACGAGAGCTCCTAAGCTTCACATGTCGAAGGGGGATCCTGGGAGTCTTCTGCCCGACCAATCCGAGCTCATCTGTCATTGACTTCATACTTCACAGATCCAATAATTGTGTCCTCTTCCCTCCTCTTTTGACACGTCAAGTTCGTACCCATCTTCAAGCTCTCGAGCCATGCGTTAGGCTTTGACAAACGCATTGTGAAATCTTTGGGGACCTCATCGTGTACGATCCACCTTCAAAGATTGACAAGCCACTTCCACAGAATAGACATCAATCGACTGATACTGACTCCACTGCAACTTTAGGTGATTCCAGTTTGTATAATTCTGCTGCCGACATAGGGTACGCTTGCAAAGTAACAACTACAGCCGATTCCAACGTATAGTGGCAGCGCGATCCTCCGTAATGCTGCAGGCCCACTCGGCCTCTCAGGAGTCCTCAAGAAGCCCGATAAATGAGAGCACAGCGGCATACATAGAAATCCACACCATGTCCCGTTGGATCCGTTTCCCAAGCCAATATGTAAAGCAAGTGGCTCTGTCGGCCATCCAGGGGGGTATTGTGAAAGAAATCCGGCCTCCAACGCCGTACCGAGGAATACATCTCTGCTCCCTCAAAGTGACAAAAATATTCCATGCGTTCGTTTATGGTTCGGGAGAGAACCATATTTTTTACGACAGCGCAACTACTATCACGCCTCCTTGACTGCCTCGATTATGCTGTACTCCCACGCCGTCTTGAGCTGCTCGCACTCCTCCACAATTCTGGGGTTCTCCCACCACCACTGATCTGCCGTGATGTACTGTCCCCATACTTCCCTCCAGAGCATACGGCCGACCATACTGCGGAGCTCCTGCTTGACAGCCTTATCTGCAAGCACCTCGGCGTCGGTCGTAGCCGTGTCTGGTCTGTCTGTTGGTGGTATAGCGGAAAACCTCACAGTGGTGATGGTACTGCCTTCAGCACGGAGGGAAGCGTCTGCCAACCACAGAGGGAAGAGTTTGCTTGGGTTCATGCAGCGGAAGTTCTTCTCGAGGTTGAAAATGAGATTTTCCTCAATCCACGAACGCATCAGAGGACCCAGCGTACTCGTAACAGGAAGAGGATCGATCAATGTGAGGTGAAAGGCACCACCGGCAGCGAGGCACCGGTGAACATTTTTGAGGAGACTGGGAACTTCAGGGGACGGCAAAAGTGCCGGAAGTGCCAACGAGTAGACCACGCCGAAAAGGGACGGGGCCACTGGGAAGGCCGATGGCGAAATGGCCGGAACGTTGACCGGGTGGATATTTGGAAAGAGTGTATGAGACAAGGGCGACGAAGCCAGATGGTATACTTGCTTATTGAAGTGGATGGCCGCTAGGTATGACGTTGTTGCTGCACAAGTTAGTTGAAGTGACCGGAAATTGAATTTGCTTCCACTTGCCCTGAGTCTCGTAAAGCGCGAGGACCTTTTTCGCCTTTGCAGGAGTAATCTTGTTGGGATGAACCTTCGCTTGATCCAAATCCACTGGTTTGTCCATGTTGTGCAAAGAAGAAAGCATCCATCTCTTCTTTTCCATCTCGAGCTCCTTGTAGAGGCTGGCATCGGTGGTCTCGCCCCAGACCTCTTTCAACCGCAAAAGGCGGATGCTGTGGCTTGCAGCGGCCATCCGCCTGATCTCACGCTGCATCCCATTAAGATCCATGGACATGGAACATGCGGCATCAAGCTCTGGTGTTTCTTCGATGACCGCCTCAATCATTGGCGTTCGCACTTCCGGTGGTGGGCCGCAGTCCCACGCATCCGGCGGTCTCCAGGAGTCTGGGTTGTTGGGCTTGAATGCCATTGACCATGAAGGAATTCGCCGTAATGAGCGCTGCGGGCTGGGATGGCCAGGGAAGAGGTTGACAGGCGAGTCAAGCATTGCCGGTGATATCAGGGCGGTAACCGCGGGCCTATGTCTTGTCAGTAACGATGCTGTTGGGGGATAACGAAATGCTCACTGTGCTGTTGGAGAACGTGGAGGGGTTGGAGGCTCCTCCTTGACTGGCTCGGCTGTGATGGTTATATGTGAGATCATGCCAGAGATATCATTTTCTATCGTCCGAGGCAGTATAGTGACCTCCGTGCTTTTGGTGATGAAAGAGGTTGGGCCGAGAGTCTGGACGTAATGTTCCCTCTTTGCTGACGTCGACTCGGCGACCGATGTGTTGCATGGAGATGTCGGACCGCCCATGGAGGTGTCTGTCCACTTGGAGAAAACAGAGTCTAGGAAGCCTGAATATCAGTGAGCTGTGGCAGGCTTGTGGAAATGGGTCGATCTACCTCTGTTGGATGAGATTGGTGAGCTCTGCTGTGACTCGACACAATGTTGCTCTTGCGGCATGTAAGTGCGATCGACCGTGGTGACGGGGCTGCATGGGAGCTCCGTAGGGAGTGGCGGTGGCTCCGAGACAGCCGATAGTAGCGAGCCTCTGAATGTGCTATCGATGCTCGGGGCTTTGAGTGCGTGTGCGGTGGATGTTTTGGCGCTTGATGGTGTCAGTGTCCTCTTAAGACTCCTAGATCCGAAGAAGCTGAATGGTTTGTTGTCGGACGACGAAGAGCTGCGAGTGGACATGGAACTCCTAGATGCTCTGGTCTTGTCCTTATGATCCCGCTCAACTGCTTTCCTCTCGCGGTGCTCCTTTCTAGACTCCCTGTCGGGGTCCGTCCACACTACTTCCCACATTGCGAGTCGTTTCTCGTCGGCCCAAACAAGAGACGCGTGTTGTAAGTAAGATCCGGGTGTCCAGAGGGAGATGTTAGGGATGCTGGATATATACGGCCAGCCGACTTTGGTACTGGTTGAGACGCAAAACTGTGAGCTTGAACCGGCCGATCAATCGCATGCCCGAAATTCGGAAAACGGCGTGTTGTTAGATGGTCAGACCTTGGGAGGCCCGGGGACGCAGTTCGTCCGATGATTGGCGTCGTAGAAGTGAGTGAGGATGAAGTTAAGATACAGTTGCGGTCGGCGATGGGAAGTCGCAAGAGTGAAAGGTTGAAAAGCTACGATGACCGATAGCCTGGACCATGGAGGAGAGCCGGTGGAGATTGAATAGGTAGAGAGATAAAAGAAGTCGAATTGACGAGAGTGCCGTCCCAAGGGGAGACAAGGTTCGACAAGGTGAAAAAGGTAATCCGACGTCGGCAGGTGGTGTAGGGTGAAGATTGAACGTCGTGGTTGACAAGAGCCGAGAAAAGATGGAAAGAGGAAAAAGGGTAGTCACGATGTGGTAGAAGGCAGGTGCAGCTCTGATTGAGAAGGACGCTAGTGTATCAGGAGGACCACGCGAAACCTGTATCAATTGGGAAGACAGGAGACCTGGACGTATGGAGAATGCCGGTGGAAGGAAGGACCGAGGGGAGACGAGGACGGGGATGAGGACGAGTACGCAAAGATGCGGTATGCGGTATGCGAAGCTGCAGATGGCAGTTGACAGTTGACGTGTGCGAGCGTCGATTCCGGTTGTCGTCGTGCTTGTGCGGCAGCAGCAGGAGGTTCGATACGCGCCGCAGATGCGAAATGCAACGTGAGGGATGACAACTCCAGGTCGAGACCCCGGTGCGGCCGATGGCAACAACAACCTCTGGATGTGTTAAGTGCGCAACCTACGGCCGGGCCAGCCTCTCGGTACTTGATGAAGAATGGAAAAGGATACAAGAGCGGGAAGAGTGCGTCAGAGAAGAGTGAGTGGCCCGTTCCGAGCGATTTGTATTTGTACAAATAGGTAATCACTTTCTCTCTTCCAACAACAACGAGGTTCGACAGCGTGTGATCGTGCGCGTACGTCTGATTATGTACCGTGCAATGGACAGGATCAGGACATCAGAACTGCCAGTTAATACTGTTGGGCAAGTAGGTGGCAGGTTGGTTAGCAAGCCGATTCGGCGGTCGATCCAGCTCCAGCATGAACTTGTGCTCCCCGGCTCGTCCATATATCGAATTGGGACTAACACAACCGGCTTTCCTTGAACCCCCTTGGCCTTGGCTCCCCTCTTTCAATCTCGCCGATAGCCCATGCAGTCATCTGAGATTTTGTGGCGTCCTGCCGGTCATAGCCCTGGTCCCCCATCCATCTGGTCGTGCTGGTTTAGAATCATTGGGCATTGATCGGCAAGTCTTTTTCATTGTCTCAATCCGTCCTGCTCCCGCGTTGCTTATTCCACCACCACCAGACAAGGGCGTCCCAGCCGGCATCGTCAACTTTGCCCTCGCTCATGGACTTGAGGTGACTGTACTCCCGGACTGCCAGTTGCACCAAGCACAGCAGCGGCGACTTGTGGAAGCCAACGTCAACGGGACGCAACGCGCCGTGCCACATTGGTGGAGGAAATATTGAGATGAAATGCCCTTCTTCACGAACCGTTCCGAATCGTCAACGGGTTTCGCATTGTCAAACAGTAGAATTCCATTGCCCGGCCTCCCTCGACAGCAGGCACGTTGCGACCCTCATTCTTGGCTCGTATGGAACGCAAAAGGGCAGAGAGAGACGAGGACGTGCTTATTGTGTCCTGAGCTGCGGCCCCTGCCTCAAACACTCAAAGGCCGGCGCCCATGGAAGCTTTCAGCGAAAGGGACGGCGCGAAGCTTATGTTGCCTGCCACATGGCAAAGCCCATTGCTATCATTGGGGGCTGTGGACTATCGACAAGTTCGCGCGTCGAGCTGTGCATTTGTGGGAGCTAGCCGTATCTTTGGAATCCATATTGCCTGGTGCATACCATTCACGCCGGACAGGACTGAGCTAAGGTAGCCATTCGATGGGAATCATCGGGGCCGTGTTTGCTCCGTTCTTGCAAAGTGCCCTCGCACCATTGAAGACAGCTGCAAGCTGCCTTCTCGAATCAAGACGGTGCTCCTCTCGATCCGCAGCGTAGCGGCAAGGCCGGCAAGGGGAGGCTGTCGTACAGAATCTCCCCGCTGAGTCCATGACAGATGCAGTCGCGTCGTCTTCAGCTGTCAACTCTGCAGTCTGGTGGCTCTGTAGGTCCCCGCAGACCGTCTTGCGGGAGGCATCAGTCAATGTCGTCCGGGGCTCTCCATGATCCCGGCGAGAAACGGACGATCCGGGCGATATGGTGGCATTGCAGCCTACACAGTGCCCGCTCGAAGCCGATTTCAGAGACTCGGACCGGCAGACCGCTTGTTGGGAGCAGACAACGATGAGGTGTCGTGGGTATGTGTGTGTGTTGTGTGTGAAGGGGTCGAGGGTGCCACTTGTCTAAGCAAACGTCAACACTTGAGCAGGGGCTGTCAAAGTGGCTAGCTGGGAAGCCACGGTGGTGGCATCGTAGTCCGATGTATGGTGTTGGCGTTGGAAGGCTCGCAAGCTCGCAAGACTCAAACAAAGAGTGAGATGGAGTGCAAGGCAGGGGAAGAGGGGCACCGGGATGTCGTCTGCAAGGTGGAAAAGTCGGGATCACACATTGGATTCAGGGCGCGGGTGGATCTGCAGGGAGATGGCAATCCGGGGCAGGGCCACCCCTGAGGACTGCGAGATCTAACCCGTCTTGGGGGATAAGGTGGTTCGTGAGTGGTCAGGTTCCAGAATCCCACTGCAGCGGCGCCGCTAGGGGACCCGTGTCAGGGGACTTACAGTCTGCGGGGCACGTCCTGGCGGCCGTAAGTGTTCTGGGTGGCTACCTCAAGGTACGTTTAGTGGCTCAGGGACCACCTCGACCACTCACGGCTCCGCGATGGCATCGTCCGGCCAAAGCTCAGCACGCCTAGATTCGCCGCGGAGCGATCCATGCCACCCTCCTACCCTGCACTATCCTTTTCGCGGCTCACTTGGCTGCTTTTAAGCGAATTTGCCAACCAACGACAATGGAGAGCAAACATTCTTCCCTTTTCTTATTCCAACAAAGACCCAGTCCAACGAGGTCTCAAGAAAAGGTCCCAACTCAATTCCAGCCAGACTCAGACGGCCTTTGTATCTGTAAGGTAGTCCATACTCGCTCTTCTCCAACCGTGCCATTGAAAGAAGTGTCTTGAATTCTAGAGCCCTTTCTAGATGCGGCACACCCCCAAGGGCCCGGTTTACCGACCATCACCTGCGACCAACTCGAAATTGCTGATGGGCTTGACCACACAAACATGTTCCAACATATTCTAACGGCTTATGGATACCGGAGGAAGATCGGACCACGATAGCTCCATTCCAGCAAGCACGGAACACCTCTACCACGTGGGTTGGGACTTTGGCTGGGCCGTTTTGAGCGTAGGCATAGGACAGACGTTAAACTCTCCGCAGTGCTGGGCAATAAAGAAAGCGAGCGAGCGAGGAAAAGAGCGGCCTTTCGTAGCAGTGCATGATGCGTAGGCAAGGTACGACGTGCCTATGTCTGAGTCTTCTCGAGAGCTGACCAGTGAAGAGGCCCTCAGGTCAGACCGATGACGGCTGTAGGACACGCAAGGTCAGCCGCAAAAAGAGCAAACAGGTGACAGCTAGATCATGGTCAGCAGGGGCTGATGCGAGAGTAGAACATTGTCACAAGCTCAATCTCGGTAGCAGGACGAATTTCCCGCATATGATGCAAAGTACCGTTCGCCGACCTTGGCGGTCCTATCAAGGAGCTTCGAGACATGTCTCGCTTGCCAAGGTCTACACTGCAGCGGCTGCCTGCAGGCAAGAAATTGGCTCATGGCTGGCTTTCCCGTTGTAATTGGTTTATTATCTGGAAAGACGGCAAAGCTGAGAGGGCAGGTGAAGAAAGGGATAGTCAAGTAGGCCATTGACTGCGACTTGGTCGATTATAGGGGATAGTCACAGAATTGCGAGGGTGAACGTTTTTGGAAAGGTCTGGACGATTTGGGGGGGGGGCTTGGTTTCAAGGCCTTTGTGCGGTTTCCGATGATGAAGCTGTCGCGACGACATCCGATATCGACGATAAGGCCAGGAAGCAGACGATTCCAATGCCTCGTTCGGACGATGGTGTGGTCTTCGGCAGTCCGAGCGGGTGACGAACAAGACTAAGACGCGCCTAACCTGACAGCTGGGTCGAAGGTTCGTGAGGCGTTGCGCACAGATGGAGTTCGTTTCTTGAGAGAGTCGAGCTAACGATATGAATGGCACCGTTTCTCTTCCGAGAGCCTATCAACTCGTACGAGAGCGTGGGCTTGATATCAGTCGTGGCTCGAAAGTTTGGCGCGTAGCCATTGATGATGAGGGCCGGCTCACAGCCCGTCGGCGAGGCCTTGTGGTGAGTCAATGGACAAGGCGTTTATCGTTGGCAAAAAAGTGTGCTCTTCCAGTTTTGGGGACCCGAGCCTTTTGAGCATTCGTGGCGTCGAGAGAAGGCCGGTTTAGGATGAGCTCTCTCGTTAAGTCCTTTGATGGCAGATTGGCACGAGTACCTCCATCTCCCGGCCGGCGATTGTAGATCTCCCATGAGGCTAGCGCCTCGCGTCAAACGTGGAAGAGACAAGCTGCGCGGCGCGCCTGGTAGTGGCGGCCTGGACCTTCTCTGCTCCCGTTCCCCACCTCCACGCGGCATTGGCGCAGTATGCCTTTTGCTGAGGAAAAGAAAGACTGGTACACCCTCCTTCACTGGCGTACCTCAGATAGTGGCAGACTAAAGCAGGGTCAACTCGGTGAGGAAAGGTATCCTTCTCGAAAGAGGGGGGAAAGAAGAGACATGTCGTCTAGGAGATGTAGGTGATGTATGTACCTTACCTAAGGTACGGAGTAGGTGTAGGTAAAGGAAAATGGTAAGGTGGTGAGTTAGGTAAGTCCGGCAAGGTAGGTACGATGTGTGCAGCTGTGCAGAAGACATGGGCAGGAGCGAACAAGGATATAATTGATCCTGCCACTTTCGCCCCTTCCACTTCCAGGTTCTTCCCTTCTCTAGGTATTCCATTAACGCACCTTCACTTTCTTCTCCAACGGTGCATCTATCTGCCTTCTCTTTCTTCTCTTTTTCCAAGACAGCTCTTTTATCGATCCTTCCCGCAGGATTTGGTCTCGTTGCCAGGTCGTCCCGGGTACCACCTCTTCCAAGTTCCAACTTCGGAATATTGGACTTCTCTCGTCACTCTACGTTCCTTTCTCTTCTCACTCAATCCTTCCCATCTCGGCTCCAACACCCATCGGACCTCATTTTCAGGTCCAGGTTCTCCTGCGGCTTTCCTCATTCTTTCCCTCCTGCCTCCTCGCAGATTGTGTGCCAACCACCTCCCGCCTCACCTTGTACAGGACTCTGAGACATCTCAACCTTCTTCCTTTGTGCTGAGTCCTGTACCATAACCTCCTCACCCACTTCCCTAGCTCACTACCATCTACCTTTCCGAGTCGCCTGGACGCTCGTCCGCCGACTCTCCTTCCTCCATCGCTCGCTATGAGCAACATGTCGACTCACTCCAACATGGAGCGTTTGGAACCCGTCGAGTCGCCCGTTCGTCGATCCGCCATCGGCCGCAAATTCCATGCTATGTGGAAAGCTGTCGATCGCTGCGACAGGCGAATCTCCACGTCTACCTTTGGACGAATCTTCAGACTCGAGGGAAGCGGTCATGTATGTTTTCTCTCCCCCTGCCTCTGTTGCCGAATTTCTAACCCCGGACAGCCTAAGGAGATTCCCGATACATCATTCTTCAGGGAGATTCGCGCCGGAGTGACCACCTTTGCGACCATGGCCTACATCATTGCTGTTAATGTGAGTATATATCTTTGATCAGTTGTGAGGTTCATGTGCTGATTGAGACAGGCAATCATTCTCTCGCAGACGGGCGGCACTTGTGAGTGCGACTTGATAAACAGAGCCGACTGCGACACTATCGACAGCTACAAGGCCTGCAAAGAGAGTGAGTCGGCCGACATCTCTCATTGAGCCTTGCTAACCTTGCAGATGTTCGACTTGACCTGATCACTGCGACTGCTGCCATCGCCGGCCTCGCTAGCTTCATCTTCGGTTTCTTCACCAACCTGCCAGTCGCGCTCGCGTAAGTACTAGCATTGTATTTAATATGGCTCTCACTGACAGTGAACATAGTCCTGGCATGGGTCTCAACGCATACTTCGCTTTCCAGGTTGTCGGCCCCAATGGCTCAGGCAACATTCCCTACCGTGTCGCCTTGACAGCAGTCTTCGTGGAGGGGCTCATCTTCATCGTCCTTGCTCTTACCGGAATGCGCCAGTGGCTTGTGAAGCTCATCCCCGCTACTATCAAGACGGCAACCGGCGTCGGCATCGGCTTCTTCTTGACGGAAATCGGACTCTCTTATTCTGCCGGAATCGGTGCCATTACCGGAGGCTGGAAGTCTACCCCGCTCGCCATTGCGGGATGCCCTGTTGAGATGATCGATCCCGACACGCAGATGTGTGCTGGAGGTATCATGTCGAGCCCCAAGATGTGGACGGCAATCTTCGCTGGTGGTCTTGTTACGGCCTATCTGATGTCGTTCCGCGTCAAGTATGCTCTCATCATGGGTATTGCCCTGGTGTCGATCTTGTCATGGCCGTAAGTCATCCCGCACTATGTGACGCGAATTCACTGACCTTTGCAGACGTAACACATCCATCACCTACTTCCCCTACAACGAGGAGGGTGAGAATCGCTTCAACTTCTTCAAAAATGTTGTCACGTTCCATCCGATCGAGCATACCCTCAACGCCCTTGACTGGGATGTCACAAAGAACGGATCGCAATTCGCCCTGGCACTCTTCACTTTCCTCTATGTCGACATCATTGACGCCACGGCCACGCTATATTCTATGGTTCGCTTCTGCGGCGTTGTCGATCCCAAGGATGGCGACTTCCCTCGTTCTACCATCGCCTACTGCTGCGACGCGGCATGTATCTCCATCGGCGCATTGTTCGGATGTTCTCCGGTCACAGCCTTCATCGAGAGCGGTGCGGGTATCGCAGAGGGTGGCCGCACTGGACTGACATCCATGACCACCGGTCTTTGCTTCCTTGTCTCCATCTTCTTCGCTCCAATCTTTGCGTCCATCCCGCCTTGGGCAACCGGGTGCACGCTCGTTCTGGTAAGTCTCAAGAGGTCTCGATGGGTGTTCCGGTCTAACTGTCGCAGGTCGGCTGCATGATGATTCGTCAGATTACCCAGATCAACTGGCGCTACATTGGCGATGTCCTCCCATCCTTCGTCGTCATGACTTTTATTCCCTTCTCATACAGCGTCGCTTACGGCCTTATTGCGTGAGTTCATCCCATGACATCTTTCTGACCACAACTGACAATCCCAGGGGCGTTTTCGTGTACACTGTTCTTAACGGTCTGATCGCCTTGACTGTCTGGCTGTCTGGAGGTAGAATCGAGCCCCGCGAGTACGATGCGAAGGAATACTGGTCCTGGAGAGGCTCTGGCAAGAAGCCTTGGTTCGTTCGCGCTGTCCGCAACAGCTGCTTCAGCAACGGCGACAACGACAGTAAGCGCCAATTTAACATGCAGGATGACCACGATAGCTCCTACGCTCCGGGTTCGCGCATGGGTTCGTCGGACCAAAAGGAGGACGGTGTTCACATGGTGACGATCCCACAGCGGGCGGTCACGCCGCGTTCCGTGCACTAAGAAAAAAGTACTTGGTCTAGGGTTAGATTCTTCATTTCTGTTACGAGGGAGGCGATTTTCTTGCGAGAATATGATGCCAGGTCTACTGGCTATATCACTTGAATCAGCTGTCAATGATTGTAGATAGCAATGAGACACCGGCTTTGAAATAATTTCTCTGCGATGATGGTGACATTGGTGGTCTGTGAATGCCCAGCGTCCAGTGCCTGGACTTTGCCTAGGTAGGCTTGGGTAGTGCCCCGGCGAATCTTTGACCCTGGTCCCGCCCCACCACGCCCCACCACAGCTCCGACCTTGCGTCAACGGGCCAGCGCTCCGTCCGCAAACATTGAAGCTTCAATCTCCAGCTTACCAATTCCCATTCGAGTGCGAAACCTGACTTGACTGCGACGCGAACCACTCAGGCAACTACGACGCCTTGCAGAACAGTCAAACAACTCCGCGGCCCATCCCCACCTCTTTCACCAGTGACTACCCCTCCTCCGCCTCCAAGATGAGTGGTGGATGGAATACCAGTATGCGGCCCCCGAAAGAACCCCCAGCCCATTGCCTTCGCTAACTCTTGCAGTCGAGTCTGACGCAGTACGTGGCTCTATCAGATTAAAATAGCGCCAAGCTAACTGCTTAGGGCGTCTTCACCTACCTACTCGAGAACCTCGGTGTCAAAGGCGTTCAGTTCGAAGAGCTGCTCACACTCTCTCCCGATGAACTAGCACCGCTGCAGCCAATCTACGGCATCATCTTCCTCTTCCGCTACCCTTCCGAAGGCCTGCCCGCGCGGTCAGCCGATTTATACGACCGCGATGCTGCCGAGAGTCTCTTCTTCGCCCAGCAGACGATCCAGAATGCCTGCGGCACGCAAGCGCTACTGAGTGTCGTCCTCAATAAGACCAACGAGGTGGAGATTGGCGAGAAGCTGGGCGAATTCCGTGAATTCACCATGGTTCTTCCTCCCGAGTTCCGCGGGGAGGCGCTCAGCAACTCTGAGCTTATTCGCGATGTACACAACAGCTTCGCCAAGAGCAGCCCCTTCGTCGACGAGACTCAGAAGACGGGCGAGGCTGAGGATGCGTTCCACTTTATCGCCTACACGCCCATCAACGGCAAGCTGTATGAACTGGATGGACTGCAGCCTGCGCCTATTTCGCACGGCGCCTGCACAACCGAGGAGTTCCCGACCAAGGTGACGCAGGTCCTGCAGGACCGCATGCTTACGTACGCCAGCTCCGAGATTCGGTTCAATGTGCTGGCCATGGTACGCGACCCGAGAATCGCAGCCAAGGAAATTGGCGATTCCGAGACCCTGGAGCGAGAGAACGAGAAGCGCCGCAACTGGCGATTTGAGAATGCCCTGCGTCGACACAACTTTGTTGGCTTCGCGGGCGAGGTTCTGAAAGGTGTTGTCGCCCAGAAAGTCGAGGGTGGCGATGCGGCGTACGATGCTTGGATCAGGGAGGGCCTTGAGCGGAGGAAGAGGGACGAGGATGCTGTGAGGTTGAGACGAAAGATGGGCGGCGGCGGTGACGAGGACGACGAGATGATCGGTTAAACGTGTCAATGATACCATGAATAGAAGCAGGATTACGTTTGGATTCATCTGGGGAAGGTGTTTACACATCGGGATAGCAAATGAAGCCATCAAACGCAGCTTGAACCTGGCCTGGAAGCCGACTCGGCTGTGTCGTTTGGTTCGTTTCGTTTGGTTCGCATTGGCGTTCTATCCCCGGATTCTGATAAACAAGTTGGACAAAAGCTGATTGACCGCAGACATCTGGTTGGCGTCGTCGCATTTGTAAACGAATGTTCAGTTCGCCCTGTATCAGCACCATCCTCTAGAGGTTGATGAGACTCTGATCGTCACTCTTTGCATCCATATTTGTCCCCCGGCTCCATCACCTGGTGCTACATTGCAAGTCACTATAGCGTCTTCGTTGATCATATGGAGGCCATCGTCCTTCTGGCATATCCGGCCTTTTTGGCCTCGACATTGGTGAGCGACTCGGGAGGCTAGACCTGCTGTCTTCACCTTTCATCCGGGGCAAGCTCGCCAGCCCTCCTTCCCAAAATCTTTATGAGAAATGCGTATTCGTCTTCATACCCACCAGAAGACGAATTATTAAGGTCTTTTTCAGACCAACTCACCTGTCACTTCCACACCTCCACACCATCATACTTACCTGCACATCCACGCACTGCAAAGATGGCTAGAGTCAAAGCAGAGCAGCCCACTGGCAACAATGGTCCAGTCAACGGTCGAGATCAGCAGCATCGAGGTGGACGTGGACGCGGACGTGGAGGTGGCCAACAGGGTCGAATGCATCGCACTATTGCCCCCTGGTCGGCTCGCGACGATTACGCCCTCAGACGTCGCTCCCCCACCCCCAGACGTCGCTCTCCCGCCCCCCAGCCCTGGGTCTCCCTCGGCGGCCTCCACGACAACCTCGAGAAGTGGATGAGAAACGGGGAGCGGGACAAGACGCTGGCCGAATGGGGACTGGGACCTGGCGACTACGATATACTAGAGGATCGCGTCCTCGCCGCTATTGCGGTCAAGTGGCCCGACGCGACCGTGGCTCTGCTCTACGACAAGGCGCAGGAGGCCAGAGACAGCGTCTACCGCCGCCTTGAAGGCCAGGGCAAAGTCCGCATCAGCCTTGAGGCGAGCGACTGGCTCGTTCTTGCGAGCTTGTGGACCATCATGAGTAAGGCTACTATTGAGCGAAGAGGATTGGTGTTGAGGTTAGAAAATCGCGGCTGATATTAGAATTTTCTCGCAGACAAGGCTCTTAGTCCTGTGAACCGCAAGTATCCGTTCGAACACACTTACGAGCAGATCCGCTCCTTCGACACCGGTGCGATGGATAATCAGTATGCTTTCTACTTCAAGAAGTGCGAGCGACTTCGTGCCCAGAATGCTCCGACTGCTACCGCTGCCCCCATCGCCCGCCGCCCGATGACGTCGGTTCCTGCCGCCGGTTCCTACATCATCGGAGAGCAGGCTCGCATGCAGCCGGCCTGGATGGCGCCTCCCCCTCCTCATCCTTCTACCCAAAATGGTTTCTGCAATGGCAACCATGGAGGCCCCTGCGTCCCGATGCCTCAGCTGGGAACCTGGGTGATGGGAGGAGGAATGGGTCAGCCGATTACCCATGGAGGCACCGCGGGACACTTTTATCCGGCGCCTCAGCATCATCGTGGAGCTCAGCCGGGTCCTGCCATGACCTACTACTAAGTCGATACACGGTATGGGAAGGAGTCACCCTGGATGGATTTGATGTGTACTCTGGCTGGCCTGGATTCTTCGTTGAGATGGATTTAAGCGAAGTTACGCAGAGGATGAGGTACGGAATGGATTGACTTTGTCATAATCTGGTCACGGCCATAGTAGATGAAGGGTATGGTGTCCAAGGGTAGCAATTGAATGAGAAGATTCCCGTGATCAGTGCTTGATGCTATATAAAAATCTTCCGTTCTCAGTGTCGGTATAACTGTCAGCAGGGTATAAGCTTTCGGTTGTTACGAAGCTCGTTACTGTGGGTGGGAAGGGCCGCTTGCAACGGCCCAGACCACTTTCCGAATCCCCTTTTCTGCCGTCAATATTACAACAGCCAGGATGATTCTGGTGATGTTTCCATCAGGCCCGTGTTCTATAGTTCCTCGGTATGATAGACGTCCCAAGTAATCTTAATTTCGTCGCGCAATGTAGATCAAGAAACAGCTCTTTTCTACTGCTCGTCATCAGAGATTGCTCGCCTTCGTACGAAGTCAATACATTTCTAGTGTGAGAAAATGGAGAGAAGATCGCTGTCACACATGGGGGACACAATCGCCCAGGCTTACGGTACATTGCTACACGTAATGGAATTGGTTCTACAAAAGTAACAAGTCTATCATTGCATCTTTCTTCTCAAGTATTATTTCCGGTACTTTCCCATCTTGCCAGGCCCTTCCCTCATCTCGTCGAATATTCACAGAAGCCAATGTTGATGCGCCCCAGCACTTCATGAGCCGACTCTTTGCGAGGATCAGTCTAGTCCCAACAGACTCTCACCAGTAAACGGTCTTGTTGACGTTCCATCCATGCTGCCTTTGGTCTTCTAGGATCAAATCGTCGTTCTGCAGGATGGTTTCCCAGTCCCTAGTCATTGAGCCCGCCTGGAGGTGACTCTGGTTATCGGAATTCTTGGTGTAGTCGTATGTGGGCCAGAATTGCTTGTTGACGTCTTTGAATGTATCCCTCCAGACCTTCATGGCAAAAGGTTTGGTCCAGGGATGGCCAACTGGATGTATGAAACCATCATTCTGATACCCATGACGAATGGTGCTTTCAAATCTGGGCCAACAACGCATGGTCAGGATCGGTGGTTTATGTGCGCGTCGAACTACCGACAAATGACGAAGTAATGGTGTTGAAATCCACCTTTCCCTTTCCATTCCGTGGAACTCCCGGCAATCGTCAAGGCGATGCTGTGTTGTGTTGCACAAGGGGCATCCGTCAATGTTGCCGAAAGGGCCTGTCCAGATGCAATCGATCAACGCATGGCCGCGAGCCGAACACTTTCCGCAGACAACGTTGGAGTTCTCGGGGTCTCGCTTGAGGTAATCAGATCTTTTCGATAGCATGTGGGTGGCGGGGTTGGGGGTCTGCTTTGGAGGTGCTCAGCCCGACAACGGACGACGACGGGAGGATATCTGATGGTTGCCACTTAAGGCACTCTTTTCTGATGCAACAGCGATCATTTTATCCTCTTCACTTTGGATACTGCCATTTTCGTCTCCAATTGCGGCTTCGTTGATTTGGCTGGCATGTGGTTAGCGACTTGCCTTTTTGCTTGTTGTTAGGGATTTGCAAACCTGGATCCATCTTGGATGCCCTTGTTCCGACAGCTTTCCTCGATAAGCCATTTGACATTCTTTCGTTTCCATTCGTATTATTGGTAGTCGCTCATGTCAACGGAATCATACTACATTTCCAATACGTCGGATTCCCTCACTTCGGGGTGAAACCTCGCAATTGAGATGTTGCTCTGCCAATAAAGCAGGAAATACGTGTATCCTGGCGCTCCAATGGCCCACGTATTCCTAGCATAAGATTCCATAACCCAGGATTCGTATCTTCTCCGGATTCCCAGAAATTCCGGATTAGGTCGCAAGAACCCTCTTCTTTTAGTTAAATATGAACTGCTGCTGGGAGCACGTATCTGATACGGCTGTGCCTAGACGTGAAATCGATGTGTTTGGGCGTAGGGCGCCTGTCACGGATGTGCACGACCTGCAGCTCAGCGAGTCCAGCCTGGTCGCCGTCTGCAGGAGTCTACTCTAGACGCAAGTATTCAGGGTTGAGGAGGCATCGTGGACTGATGCCCAAGTCTTTGTCGAGATCTTGATCTATCAATTTTCCAAGATCGTGCGATGCTGAAACAAGCGCTCGTCTTCTTCCATTGACTTTCCGGTGCCGTTTTACTGACAATGGGAAGAAGGAAAAAGCCATGCTCCCATCTAGTTCAGAGAGTCGATTCCAAGAATCCCAAGGAGATCAGTTCTTGAAATAATAGGCCATTGCGCGACGACGATGATGCGTAAACGTCAACTTTGGCTTTCGCATGCCCCTCTCCGTAGGAAGGGCGAAAATCGAGCCAGGCGTGTTGGAATAGCTGGTTCTGTTTCTCTCTCTTTCGCAAGGGATGTGTGGCGGATCTTTCTTCCGATGTAAGTTGCGAGTTGATGATTCTGATGAAGACGGTGAGGCAGTCTAGCCCAGAAGTTCTGTCCAGCTCCCACCGAGGCTCTGTGCCCTCGGCCAGCTGAAGAGAAGGAGTTCATCTTGAATTAACCTCGGATCTGTGCAGTTCTGCGTGATTTCACGGATGTCATCCATCTTTCAGGCAAGCCCTTCTGTTGATCTTGAAACATTGATTCGGACCGTGTAAGAGGCGGATGGGGGGAGGGTAAGCGATGTCGGGACGAAAAACAGAGAATAATTGAGAATGCGTGATGTCTGGTATGAAGAAATAAGGCTAGGCGAATGAGTGCAGTTGGAGGGATATTATGAGGAAGGAACTTGCCAACCAACTGCCCTTGGCAGTCTGCGGTCAGTGAATTTTTATCGTCATCGTACTTGCCACATTTACCCTCTACTAAGCATGCCTTTCTGTCTTTTTGGAATAAATAACAGGCATTCGAACTAGTATGAACCAACGGAAAGATTTACAAGGGCATAGATTGGATGCTGTGAGATAAACCCAGCCCCTTCTACATGGCCTGAACTTGCTTGTTTGAGTGACTAGCTCCTTGTCATATCAAGATAGAGGTAGAAGTTGAATGTATAATGTAAGACTAAAGAGACTGGGACGCCAAACTGGAGCTTTGACACGCAAATTCAATTTCTTGTTACAGCACCTGGGGTTTACTAGTAAAGATTAACTGCTCACTCGCTCGTTGAACTTCGAGAGTGGTAGCCGGGAATGCGAGGCGGAGTCAAACATTTTACACGAATCTAAGGAAGCGCTATTCACAACGACGTGGGTATGTTAGATAATACGGAGTTGTCAAATTGACAGACTATTCAAGTGAAGACCAAAAAACATTAATACCACTCGCGGTCGTTGGTCGTGTTTATACCTATTTTCATACCGTACCACAGCAACGGAAACCATGTCTAACATCGACGTCCATGACCACCTCAATTAAGCTCCCAAGTCAGCCATCGCCCGAATTGCCATTAGCTTATAGTCAGAGCAGCAACGTGGAGTCCATTCCGACAGGGCTCGGGAGTCTTCATCTAACTTTTGGCGTCTCTGGCGTTGGGCTTCTTCCGAAGTCTCGGAACTGTCGCTCGGAGGACTTGTCATCTTCTCTTGGATCTCGTATCGTCTGTTGGGAACGTTGAGAAACAGCAAGGGTGTTTCGAACCAATCGGTCTCCGTGTACAGGTTGGGGGACGCCGGGTAACGCTGTGCGATGCACATCTTGATGAACTTCCGTACCTTTCCCCAATCCAAGTCGCCGTGCTCCTTGACCACGTTCTCCACATAGCTGGTCAGCTTCGACGGGGGCTGTCTCCCCGGAATTTTTGTCGAGAAGTCGACAAAGGCTGAGATACCCGGGTACTCGGTCCATCTCGCGTTCTCGCGCGTCTCGAAGTCGAGGATGCGGTCAATATCGACCCAGTCCATGACGGCGAACACGGCCGAGGTGTCATAGGGGCACTTGATGATGGGGCCGACTGATTTGCGGCCGTTGAAGAGTTGTCTCCATGTCTGACTCGCCATGTTCCGGCGCTTGTTCTTGAGGTTCTCCGAGTATGGGGCGTAACGCGTGACGATGTAGTCCTTGGCCATGCAGGTCCACTTCAGACCCGCTGCGTCCTTCCGACTATCGATGCGTATGAGGGACTCGATCTCATGGCGGCCGTGTTTCACTGCGTCCAGTGCAGGGTTCTTCACATCTGAAAGGGGCCAATGTACGGCCTCGGAACAAAGATAGTGAAGCCTCTCGGCGCGGGCTTGCGTTGCTGGGCTCATGAACTGGCCCGACTCATTCTCGGAGAGAATGTGCGAGAGCCAATCTGTGGCTTCTGCGGCCTCTGGGGACGGGAAGTCTCCGGAGGGACGCGGGGTATATGTTAGGGCAGTTTGGAGATTGCCCATTTTGAAGTCGACGCTGTTGTTATATTGGGACGTCATTGTAGTGGATTTGAGTAGGAGGTTGTGTTGTGGAAGTATTAGACGGTGAATGTGAAGAAAGTGATGGAAAGTATTGACTAGTGAAGACAAGGAAAGAGGATGGAATAGAAGTTACAGATCAGAGTCCTGGCTATTATGCAGGGTACGAAGAGGGTATCTCCGTTTGACACGTTGCCCCCGAAGTGGCGTAATGGGTTGCATGGCCACTTGGGAAGGGAGAAGAACGCAATTGTAAGAGACTCTTGTATCTCCGGTGGCTTTGCGGATACCTCAACGTTAGAGTTTGGCATATAAGTCGGTTCATGTCTCCAGCCTTGATTCTGTATTTGACGGCTCTGGATGCTGCCATATATCTGGCTCTCTGTACAGGCTATAATAGCACTGTTTATTTCTACATGTTTAGTGTGGACTCAGGAAGGGGATCTTGAGGTAGTGAAAGTCGGACCATCGTATAAGGCGCAGAGCTTCACGGTTTAGTTTGCTATGACCCAGACTAAGATACTGACAGAAGATGCAGGACTGAGAAGGTGCTGGGGCACGCGAGGACATGCCGTAGACGCTGAGATGGTACATGTAGCAACTCTGTAGTAGGCACCCTGACCCTTTGTCGAACTCATGGAGAAAATGCAAGTATCGTGACGGGAAAGGTTGCCACTCATGCTACAGGTGGACAACCTAGTGACTTAAAGTACTAACATGGCATGTACTCTCAAAGACAGCAGCAACGGCGACTTCAGACTAGGGCATTAGATCATTGGGGGTACTATAAGTGAGGTTGAATTAAGACACGGCTACGTAGATATCTCCACCTCTCTATGCGTTAAGAGGAATATATTCATCAATGCAATTTTAACACAGGAGCTTCCCGGAATCCCTGCAAGCTCATTGCGACAACAAGGAGACGGCGAAAAGCAACTTTACACAATGCTATCGAGACGCATGCCATTGCGTCTTTTAAGACGAGCCAAACCGTCGCTGTGCCGCGCCTACAGCTCCAGCCATGCCATCAGAGGTGCGCTCCCAACCAAACTCCCATCTTCGCATCCCGCATCAACTAACCCACTGTGTAGAGCACGATGTGATAATCCTGCGTCAACGAGGGACCAAGGAGCCCAAATTCCACCTCTCACCCCCTCTCCGATTGGACGCGGCGATCAAACTTTCCTATGGCAGCAAAGTCAACGGCTCCGACATCATTGGGAAGTCCTTTTCCGACACGATCAAGGACAGCGGCGGCCGCAATGTGCGACTCCTCGAGGCGTCCCTAGGGCAATACGTCGCCAACTCCCCACGCGTGGCGACACCGGTATGAAACGACTTCTTCCCAGGACCTGAAATATTGAGAAACATAAAAGAGGTCGGCAAAGACTGAAACGCGCATGCGGCAACTCTTGGGCTAGATCTATCCCCAGGACGCCAACCTCATCGTCTCCTTCCTCGATCTGAACCTCCCGGTACCCGGCGAGGACCAGGACTTTGACGCCGGTCCGCCCGTCGAGATCTTCGAGGCCGGCACGGGTATGGGCGCGCTGACGCTGCACCTCGCGCGCGCGATCCACGGCGCGAATCCGCCCTTGCCGCCGCGCCTCCGCGACACACTCTGTACGGCGCCGTACGCGAGAAATACCCTACGGAAGGAGGTTGCGTCAGACGATGCGGCGGCGGAGGAGGATAAGGAGGTACACAAGGCCGTGCCGCACGCCCTCGACATCGAAGACCCGGACTTAGCGGCGCTGTACAAGGAGCACCTGGCTAGTCGCCGGGCGATCCTGCACACGCTGGACGTCAACCCGACATCGAGCCGGATGGCGCACGGCCTCGTTCGGCACTTCAAGAGGGGCCTGTACCTCTCCGACGTTGACTTCCACGTCTGCACGATCCGATCATACCTCGCCTCGCGCCTTGCGCAAAATGGAGGCGAAGCATTCCTCTCACATGTGATCCTCGACCTTCCCGCCTCGCAGGACTATGCCGAGATGGCCGTCAAGGCTCTCCAGCCCGACGGGAAAGTCGTCATTTTCTTCCCGTCCATCACGCAGATCCTCGACTTTGTCACCTGGGCAAAGGACACGGAACAGCCGCTGGTGCAGGACCGCGTCGTAGAGCTGCAGACGTCGACGTCGGGTGATGACATGTTCCAGGACGGCACGGGCGGTCGGAACTGGGATGTTAAGGTTGTGGCTATTCGCAAGGCGATTGAGAGGGGCGAGACGGGCGCGGCGGCGAGGGGGATCGTTTGCCGGCCCAAGGTTGGGTCGCGGGTTGTTGGGGGTGGCTTCGTTGCGGTCTTTACCAAGTTGCCTCAGACGGCTGCCAAGCTGGAGGAGAACACGGATGAGGTGGCACCTGTCCCAGAGACTACAACTATCTCTGAGATTGCATCTGTGTCTGAGGTTGAGTTGTTGCCTGAGACTGAGGCATTGTCTGGAAAGGAAGCGCCAGCAAGCTCATAGAAGTGAAATTATCAGCGCGGAAGCCATGAAGGAGAAGAGCGCAAGCTAGTGGGGTCTTCATACCTCCTCCGCCTGCTCTTCCTGTAGGATGTTTTTACGATGATTGTATATATAATGGTAGTCTTGATACACCGCATAGAGAAAAGAAACAGACATAGACAACTTCCGCCATAAGCAGAACAGAGATTGGTTCATTCATGTCAACTTCGGTAAAGTGGAAGAGCAAAAGATCGTGGAAGCCGACCAATCCTCGAGATGGATCTTGATCCCTCACAAGCTTGAGGACATGTAGATAAAACAAAAAACATACAACACCAAGTATTCGCTGGTCGTCACCGACCCAACTACTAATCCGGCCCTCACTGGTAGCTTCTAGATGGAGCGCATACCGCTTTTGTCGTGATGGTTTTGACAACCTGGACTGGAGGTCGTCGCTCCTCGTTACAAATGAGACGGCACATAGAACACCCGACTCCTTCCGTCTTAGACGGTGGGCGATCGACCATAAGCGCCAGGCTGCCGTTGGTTTCGCAAAGCACACCCCAGGGGTATCATTGTACCGATTCAAAGTTCCCCGCAGCTACAGTCAGGTCCAGTCCCTCCGAATCAAAAACGTCTGGCGAAGCGCAGGCTTGATGCCCAAGCGCTCAGGCCTTCAACATTGCAGCTGACCATATGGCAAGGTTCTGCAAACCGCCTCTTATCGGCCTGCTTCCCCGATTGGAGAGGAGCCAGGCCCAGGCCGCAGGAAGGCCAGGGCTGTGTGACCAATAGAAGGCTGCTGCATGAATCTAGGGGCTAATAATTGGCTAAGGAAATCAGTGGTGCATCCTTCACATAATAATTCCAATAGGCACCACGTAGTGACCCTTCTTTGCGACCTGGATATCACCACTGTAATCCCGTTCCAAACTGGACTCCCGATAGGCGGTCATTCATGGCTAGTCCACAAGATCGAAAGAGGCGTCGCTCCGACGAGCACTCGTAACAAAATGGCTCCATCAACGGCCGAAAGAGGCCGTGTACCGACAAGCCTTTTCGAGACGGCCGTCAGGTCAAGAGACCCAGGCCGGCGTCCGAGGATCTCAAGTCTTGACAGTATCCGCCCGAGTTTTGGAATCAGATTGTCGAAGATCCCGGCCATCTGAAGCGCTCAAAAGAACACCACAGGCGCACTCTCAGTCGCTGTTCCTACCTTCCCCCCAGACACGTTCGCACGAGACGGCATACCCACGATCGCTAGCGACTTAGCCCAGCTTGCACGGCACATTGGCCCCAATTTACAAGACCTTCGAGGATACACTGACACTATAACCACTCTCCCATCTGCCGCCGCCGCCATGAGCTGCCCCTCGTGAAGCTCAGCGACTGGGCCCCACCAATCCCACGACTCTGCAAGAACCCTCAAGCATGACTAGGGGCAGAAAGTCGACAACCTCCTATTTCCGTGGCTTCGAACAGCATCTGACCGATCGTGCTGTCCATCCGTTATGGAGATCACGGAAGCCAGAATTGAAAGACGCGAGAGCGGCCCCCGTAGTCCCGATTCAATGATTTCAATCCCTCCACTCTTTACTACGCCTCGTTTGATCGGTCCTCACCCACACGCTTTCACTGAGCTTGCACATTCCGTGCTCCACCACGTCACAGCGCCAACACAAGATGCGGACGCAGAAGAGTAGTTCCCAGTAGCTCTAAAATTGAGAATAAGGATGAAAATCAGATATAAATGCAGAAATATCGTAGGCAAGCTCCAAGGCAAGTCGGTAACCAAGAAATGTGTCTAGTCCTATGTATCAGACAATGATCTCGTCGCCTCGCCGATTGACAATCAGTCCCATAACTTCTTCGCCATCCTTCCAATTTCTCGCTGCAGCCTTACACTTCCTCGGTGATGGTGATCTGCCTCCTCGCCGGTCGAGAATAGTGTCATGACTTCCTTGCCATTCCGATTGTTTCCTGCTGCAGCCTTACCACTCCCTCGGTAATAGTGATCTGGTCGCTCGCGGTCGAGAATAGTGTCATGATTTCCTTGCCGTTCTCTTCGTTGCCTGCTGTGGCCTTTACCACTTCCTCGGTGATGGTGATCTGGTCGCCTCGCCGGTCGAGAAGTAGTGTCATGACTTCCTTGCCGCACTCCCAGTTTCCTGCTGCAGCCCTTACCACTTCCTCGGTGATGGTGATCTGGTCTCCTCGCCGATCGAGAAGTAGTGTCATGACTTCCTTGCCGCACTCCCAGTTTCCTGCTGCAGCCCTTACCACTTCCTCGGTGATGGTGATCTGGTCGCCTCGCCGGTCGAGAAGTATGTCATGATACCCTTGCCATTCCGATTGTTTCCTGCTGCAGCCCTTACCACTTGCTCGTGATGCTGATCTGGTCGCCTCGCTGGTCGAGAAGTAGTGTCAGGACTTCCTTGCCTTCTCTTCGTTGCCTGCTGCGGCCCTTACCACTTCCTCGGTAATAGTGATCTGGTCGCCTCGTCGGTCGAGAAGTAGTGTCATGATTCCTTGCCATTCCGATTGTTTCCTGCTGCGGCTTTACCACTCCCTCGGTGACAATGATCTGGTCGCCTTGCCGGTCGAGAAGTAGTTTCATGATTTCTTTCTTGAACGTTCTGCGATAATAGAGACTACTTCTCGGTGATGGTCATCTGGTCGCCTCGCCGGTCGAGAAGTAGTGTCATGACTTCCTTGCCATTCCGATTGTTTCCTGCTGCAGCCTTTACCACTTCCTCGGTGACAATGATCTGGTCTCCTCGTCGGTCGAGAAGTAGTGTCATGATTTCTTTGTTGAACGTTCCGGCGATAATAGATACTACTTCCTCGGTGATGGTGATCTGGTCGCCTCGCCGATCGAGAAGTAGTGTCATGACTTCCTTGCCGTTCTCTTCGTTCCCTGCTGCAGCCCTTACCACTCCCTCGGTGATGGTGATCTGATCGCTCGCCGGTCGAGAAGTAGTGTCATGATACCCTTGCCATTCCGATTGTTTCCTGCTGCGGCCCTTACCACTGCTCGGTGATGGCGATCTGGTCGCCTCGCCGGTCGAGAAGTAGCGTCATGATTTCTTTGTTGAACGTTCCGGCGATAATAATACTACTTCCTCGGTGATGGTGATCTGGTCGCCTCGCCGGTCGAGAAGTAGTGTCATGACTTCTCGCCATTCTGATTGTTTCCTGCTGCAGCCCTTACCACTCCCTCGGTGATGGTATCTGGTCGCCTCGTCGGTCGAGAAATAGTGTCATGACTTCCTTACGTTCCAATAGTTTCTTGCTGCGGCCACTATAACTTGCGGTGATACTTTCCCTTCAAGATCTAGAAGCAAAGGCAAAATCCCTAGATACCTTGATCCAGCAGCTTCCTCCATTGGTGTCTTATCGTTTGAATCCTTATGATCAATCAGTTCGGTCATCTTGTCTGCGTCGAAACCTTCTTTATCTGACTGAAAGACATATTCCGCTAGAGCTGGAATCCCCACTTCGCAGCCACGTGTAGGACCGAAGTTCGTGCTGTAATTCCTTCGAAGGGAAAGCGTGCAGAATAGTCTTTGAGCCAACTCCGAAGATAGTTGGACCTAACTTTGAAGAACCCTGCCTGTGATTCTTTGACACCAAATTCTGACTTTGCCATGCGTCCATGATTTGGCCATTGTTCAATTGCGTATCCACAGAGGGGGCTATTCGCACCTTTTGATCATATGACTCCTTGATCAGATCCACGCAGCGGTAAGCAAGACCAGCGTGTGCCCTAAGCTCGTTGATGAAATGGCCGGCTTCGGGCCCAGTCAGAAAGTCCTTTACCGACTGATGTAGTAAAAGTACTTTTCTTCCTGAATGACTACTATAAGCCGACAGGAGTCAATTTGATCTCGGGTAAACTGAATCCGGGTCTGCTCGTCGTCCTCGTCCAAGTGAAGTTCGCAAGCTTCAGAGAGCTCTAGTACACTCAATGGCCGTACACAAACTGCAACACAATTCAGGATACGCCGAAGTCCGGCGGCTCCGGTGTTCTGTTCTAGAGCTGTGTCAAGAAGCCTCTTGTATAGGTAGGTAAGTCCTCTGGTATACTTTCCAGCACTCGGACGGCATCCTTTGAAGGGACATCCTTAAGCTCTTTACAGGCTAAGCCAACCCAAAGGAAAGTACCGTCAGCTTTCTCTGTCAAAATATTGCTGACCTGTGTTCGGACTTTGTCGGTGTAGTTTTTGGTTGTAGCCAGGTCTCTCGTTCTTTCCTCGATGCATTGTTTAATGTCTTGCTTTGCCTCTGGGTAGGAAGCTAAGTTCTTGTTGATAAACCCTCCCATATGTTGGCGTATCTCAGGATACGGCCGACTGGTGACCAGTACAAAGACGTTGGGTGGCACATGCTGGCTCTGAAACGTTTCTCTAAGCTGTTGCAGCAGGGTGACTTGAGACTCCCGATCGCACTCATCCAGCGCATCAATAACGCAGTATTTTGCACCGGTGTGTTCGTCCGCCGCCACATTCATAAAGATTGTCCAAAGCGCGTCGAATG